GGGGCCAAGGGGCAGCCTGGGCAGGGAACAGACATGGGGGTCCCAGAGGTAGGTGGCTGTGATGGTAAGGGCACACTCTAGGAAGGTGAGACACTGCAGAGAGGGAGTCAGAGGACTGAGAAGCCTTAGGAGGCCAAGGGGGAGGAGGGTCCCATTGGCCAAGAGTTACCCTCAACACCTCCCCCCCCTCCACTTCCTCCCTGGCAGAGAAGCTATTTCCTGAGCAGCGCTATTTCTGCCCATCCGTTTCCAGAAGGCGGGAGCTCCAGTCACCCCCTCCTCACCTCTCTGTGGTGCCCTCCCAGTCCCCGGGGAGGTGGGGCTGAAATAGCTTCTATCCAGGATGTGGAGGGCATCAGAGGACAGAGGAGGCTGCTGCGTGAAGTGGGGTGGGGCTGAGATTCAGTGGGGGTTGGCACGGTCTGGGGAGGAGGATGGAGTTTTTGGTGGCTCTGAATAAGGCAGATTGGGGGGGGGGTTCATTTTAGCATCAAAGTAAGCTTAGCATTGAGGTTTGTAGACCAAACAAGAAAGACAGGCCCGATGGGGCAGATAGGTAATCCTGTCTATTGGGGAGACTGAGACCCAAGGAAATCTATAGAGGCCCAAGGAAATCTAAGTTCAAGGCCAGCCTGGGCTACCAGGCAAGTGTGGTGCCACACACCCAGCACAGTAATCTCAGAGCTCAGGAGGCAGAAGCAGGAGGATCGCCCTTAAGTTGAAGGCTAGCCTCCTTCACACTGTGAGTTCCAAGCTAGCCAAGATTACACACTGAGACCTTCTCAAAGACCATACAGAGGCTGGAGAGACCACTCAGGTTAAGAGCACTGCCTGCCCTTCCAGAGGACTCCGGTTCAGTTCCCAGCACCCACATGGCCGGTCACAACCATCTGTAACTTCAGTTCCAGGGGATCCAATGCCCTCTTCTGGCCTCTGGGGGCCCTGCGCCCAGTACACAAGTATATACATGTAGTCAAGCTCACGAAACAAGCAATAACACAAAAAATCCCAAATACAAAGGGGTAGAAAACGTGGCTTCACCCCCTGTACCGCAAAAAGAAAGGGCCAGGTGGTGGTGACACACACCTTTAATCCCAGAGGCAGTGGATCTCTGAGTTCCTGGCCAGCCTGGTCTACAAAGCAAGTCCAGGACAGCTAGGGCTACACAGAGAAACACTGTCTCAAAAAAAAAAAAAAAAAGAGGAGGAGAAAATTGGGATCGGGGAGGTGGCTCAGCAGGTAACAGCACTTGCCACCAAGCCCCACAAACTGACTTCAACCCCCTGGATCCACACAGTGGAAAGAAAGAAATGATTTTTGCAAGTTGTTGTCTGACCTACACACACATACACAGAGGGGGGCGGGGAAGGGCGGAGACACTGAGACAGTCCCACACCACGATGGAAGGTTGAAATAGTGAGTCTACCCTGTCAGGGTGCCGGGACTCCCAGGAGCCAGCCAGAGCTGGGAAGAGGCATGGAAGCCTCCCCTGCAGGCTGTCTGTTGGCTACAGCCCAGAACGAACGGACTCTACGGTCTAAGGCACCCTGGTGACCATAGGAAGTAACCCAGGTGAAAAGCATCCTGGCCGAGACATTGACTGGGAGGTGGAGGGAGGAGGCGAGGTTCAGAGAGAAGGGTGTGGGTGAGGCTGCTCAGCCTGAGCTAGGGCAGGGGTGGGGCTGGGCACTGCTCAGGCTAGGCTCTTGGAGGCTGGGGTAGAGAGGAACAGGGGCTGCTCTGAGCTGGTGCAAGGCGTGACAGGCTGCCAACGGCCTTTGCAGTTGCTGCTGACACTCACAAGGCATGTGCGGGTCAGAAATCAACCTGGAGAGTCGGGTCTCTCCTTTCACCAGATCAAACTCAGGGCAGCAGGGCTGGCAGGAAGTGCCTTTATCCGATAAGCCATCTCGCTGGCTCCTTTCTTTTCCTTTCTCTCTTCCTCTTTCTTCCTTTGCTTATGTGATTTCTGTCTTTTTCTTTTTCTTTTTTCAAGACAGGGTTTCTCTGTGTAGCCCTGGCTGTCCTGGACTTGCTCTGTAGAGCAGGCTGGCCCTGAACTCACAGAGATCTGCCTTCCTCTGCCTCCAGAGCACAGTGATTAGAGATGTGCACCACACCGGGCTTGTGTATTTATTACTATTGTACATACGTGTTTGATGTGTGTTGGGGAATCGCTCCCTCTTCCTTCCACCTTACTCTCCTTTCCCTCTCACCTCTCTTCCTCCTCTCCCCATCTCTCTGTGGGTCACAGGAAAACTCTGTGGACTCCATTCCCTCTCTCGAATATTATGTGGGTTGTAACGCAAAAACCTTACCTACTGAGCCACCTTGCTGGACCGCGTGGGCAGCGTGACTGGAGATATGTCACAGACAAAGGCTGCCAGGACATTAAGTAGAAACGGGGGGTGGGGGGCGCAGGACGGATAGATACAACAGTGAGGGACCCCACCACGCGCCCACTCACCTGACAGCGGTTCCTTCATCTTTGGGGGCTCGGGGACTTTGGGTGGGGGCTCGGGAGCCGCCTCGCCTGCAGGTACCAGTCTCTCGGCCAGGGACGCGCGCCGGGGCTTGGGCCCACGCCCGAGTCTCAGGAAGGCCAATCTTTTAGCAGCTTCCCCAGCTGGCTCCTCATCGCCATGGGTTCGGAACCCCTGAAGCCGGGTCAGGAGGCCGAAATCTGCTGAGCTCCTCCGTATGCCCGGTGCCAGCACACGGCCCAGGAAAGAGCGGGCTTGCCCGTCCCCCGGGCTGCCTGCCCTGCGGCCTGAAGTCCAGCCCAGCCGGAAGGGGGCCAGACCCGCCAGTTTCTCCAGCGTGGCCCGCCGGCGGCACGAGGTCCCATTGGATAGTGTACCCAGCTCCTCGGCTTCTTCTTCCAGCGTTGGAGGCTCTTCAAACGGGTTGCGAGAGGACCTCAGGGGCAGAGTCCCCGCCCGCGGCACCTTAGGGTCTCCTACCCCCAGGCTCTTTAGAATTGGCATTTTGACAGGCTGGCACCTGCAGAAAAATGGCCAAGGTGGTGTTAGTGGAGGGCTGTGTTAGAAGGTGCCAGGCACCGGTGTCCACATTTAGAAACATTAGAGGCTTCAAGCCAGACATACATCTTGGCACACCCTTAATTCCAGCATGTGGAGCTGAGGCAGGATCGGATCTCAAAACAATGAAGACAGAGCTGGGTGGAGCAGTGAACCTCTTCAGTCTCAACACTGGGGAGAGAGAGGCAGGAGGATCAGGAGTTCAAAGCCAGCCTTGTTTACACTGTACAGTTTTTAGGCCAGCTTGAACTAAATTAAACTACATGCATTGCTCTCTCTCTCTCTCTCTCTCTCACATACACACACATGCACGAACACAAAGCTGACCAAAGGAATGGGCAAAGTGACATATCCCTATAATCCCAGGACTCAGGAGACAAACAGGAGGATTGACATCTGCCTGGCAGTGTGGTCTACATAGTGAATGAAAGGCAGCAAAGCCAAATGAAACCCAGTCTCAAGACAAACAAACAAACGATGATTATAAACAAAACAAAAGCTATAATGGAGACGTGGCTCAGTGGTAGAGCCCCTGCCTAGAGTACCCCAGGGAGGGGCTGGGGGCATGGCTCCATGAGAGCCCCTCTCCAACATGGACAAGGCGTTAGGTGTGATACTCAACGCTGCCAAAAAGGAAGAAACCTAATCTGGGGATCCGCTGTATGCAGGCAGTGAGGACACAGCTGTGGTTAAGTTAGAGCAGGCCCTGCCCTCACAGCATTCTGAGTTCTGTCCATCTCTGAGTCTCTCTCTGGTCCTCTGTCCCTCCCTATACCCCCTCACAGCTAGAACCTATGATCACTTCTCTGCCCCAGACCTGGATTTCTTTTCAGCCTTCATTACAGTCTCCATTCTGTAGCTTAGGACGACCTCAAACTTGAGGTCATCCTCCTGCCTCAGTCTTCTGTGACCACAGCTGTGAGCTTATTTTAATTTTTGACACAGAATTCATGGAGTTCAGGCTGGACTTGAACTCTGATCCACCTGCCTCTACTTCCTGGATTACAGGACTGAGCCACCATGGCCTTTCAGCTTCTTGGCACTTGTAGCTCAGCTTTGAAGACTTCACGTAGCATCAACCTGACCCGTCCTCTCTCAAATCTTTCAAAGCTCCCTAGTGCCCTTGGCACAAAGTTCAGAGGCCCCATCAGAGCCCAGGGGTCTGACAGCTGCACAGCTCATTGGAGCTAATAACTCTCCTGGTTTGTTTTCTCTGAGTCTGGCGTCTGCCTGTCTTCCCACATGCAACCAGCTCTCCATGCAAGGCTGCCTCCTCCTGGAAGCCCTCCTGACCCCTGGGCTCCCTATGGTTCTCTCTGTTACTGTCCCTGTCTGGGGACAGGTCTGCATCTGGACTGAGAGCCTGGTGAGGGCAGGGCTGGGCCTCTGTCAGTCACTCGTGTGTCCCTGGCTCCGAGCACAGGTCAGGCATTCTGGAATGGGTGCTAACAGGAAGTAAAGGAAGGAAGGAGGCAGACAGTTCATTCCTTGGGGAGGGGGGAGGTCATGAGGCACAGGCCACACAGGACCTGAAGTCTGTGACAAGGGACTTGGATTGTTTCCCAAGGGCACTGGTGAGCTGTGCAGGCATTTTATTTTTACCTTATTTTCAGTATCGTGCATAGAACACAGGGGCCTGGTGAATGCCGGGCACACGCTCCACCACTGAAGATATAGCTCAGCATCGTGTCATTGTTTTAACTTAATCAGTGTTGTGTGTTCGTGAGAGCAGTCACCAGGGTCCCACAGCGCTTATGAGGAGGTCAAAGGACAACAGTGGCCGTCACTTCTCACCTTCTAAGGTGGGGCCCAGGGACCAAACTCAGGTCAGCAGGCTTAGCAGCAAGTGCTTCTACCCACTGAGGCCTCCCAAAGCTCCCCCTCTCCAGTCCCCCTTTCATCTTTCTTTGTTTGCAAAGTGTACCCTTCAGGTCCAGCAAGATGGCAGAGGCAGACATCTGTGAGTGTGAGGTCAGCCTGGTCTCCATAGCGAGTTACAGCCAGCCAGCGATTCACTGTATAGACTCTATCTCAAAAAAAGAAAAAAATCAAATAGAATGCACCCTTCAGGGTGAATGATGTGGCTGGTTCCGTGGAGGAGAGAGCTCTTTCCTGGCATGCATGACCCCCTGGGTTCCACCCCAACACTGAATAGAAGAAGAAGAAGAAGAAGAAGAAGAAGAAGAAGAAGAAGAAGAAGAAGAAGAAGAAGAAGAACTACTCAGAACATTTAGAAAAGTATTAAAAACAAAATTAATGTTCCGGTGTGGTAGCTCACGAGTGCAATCTCAGAGCTCGGGAGGTCAAGACCAGAGCGTCGCCCCGAGTTCGCAGCTAGCCTAGGCGATGCACGGAGTTCCAGAGCAACCTGGGATGCAGAGTGAGACCGTATCTATCATCTATCGTACAAAACAGCAGAAGCCGGAGGCTGCAGAGCCAAGCAGTGGTGGCGCACGCCTTTGATTCCAGGCAGAGGCGGGTGGATCGCCATGAGTTTGAGGCCAGCCTGCTCTACAAAGTGAGTCCAGGACAGCCAAGGCTACACAGAGAAACCCTGGCTCAAAAACAAACAAACAAAACAAAACAAAACAGAAAAGCTGGAGGCTGCAGAGTCGTCTCAGTCCAGTGGCTAGGGCCCTAGTTCGAATCCCAGTGCCCTCGTGGCAGCTCACAACTGTCTGAAACTCCAGCCCTAGTGCACCCAGCACCCCTGTTCTGGCCTCTTCAGGCACCAGACATGCAAAGTGGTGTACAGACATACATTCGGGCAAAAGGTGCACACACATAAGATAAAATCAAAATTTTAAAAAACAGAAGTGGCAAAAAGTGCATCGTGCAAGTCAACACTTCCTTTTCTTTTGCTTATGTCATGAGCCGTAACCGTTACTGATAGGTAGGCCCATCCCCCTGGTCTCCTTGTTTTAAGGGTTGTGTAATATTCCAGACAATTGGGGTGTTTGTTTTTCCTCCGTGGGCTAGACTCCTAGGTCTAGTTTTGACCTGAGCAAGTGTGTGGAGGGGATGCCTTGGAGCGAGCCTGAGGCTGTGGGTAAAATGCCTGCCCTGCTAGGATGGGGGTCCCCCCCACTCTCCAGGCTCTGAACCTCTACTCTTGAACCTCCACTGTTGCTTCTTAGCCTCGCTGTTTCTAGACACACCATTTGCAGCCTCCCTCCAGTCCCCACGGTCCCTATCCCCAACGAGGCAGTCACCATAGCAACACCTTGCTGGTAGCCCCCCGTGGCAGTGTAAAATCATCGGTACACACACTCCTGTGTGTACTCGCCCTGTTCACGCACTTATTTCTGGGTCTGCTCTCTCCCGGAAGGCTCCGCATGCCTCACCCAAAAATGGCAGGGGCCGGGGCAGGGGCGGGGGCAGGGGCAGGGGCCGGGGCAGGAGTGGGGGCACAGTGGGGTGGCTCAGCGGGTAGAGGCACTTGCCACCGAGCCTGACGCTTGAGCTTGACCCCCAGGACCCATGTAATAGAAGGAGTGACTGTAACAGTGAAAGCTGTGCTCTGACCTCTCCCCGTGCGCCATGCCATGGTGGCCACACACACAAACTGCGATGAAAATTTGCTCTATCCCTCCCAGCTATGGCTCTAACATCTCCCCCCAGACTACCTCCCCGCCCTGTAACTGCTGCTTCCAACCGAATCCAGCCATGCCCAGACTTTATCTGCCACTCACTCAGTTGGTCTAACCACCCCCAAACGTGCCTCCAGCGGCCCCTCGGACTCTTCTCAGCCCATTCCCATCACACTCCCAAACTGGCAGCAGTATTTACCCCAACAACTCCCCCCCACCTCTTTCCCCTTCCTGGCTCCAACACCTCCCTCTACAACCTGGCTCCGACATCCTGCCCCCTCCAACGCCCTCCACAACCTCCCGGTGCCCAGGCCCCTGACTCACTTCCGAGCCTCGCTCAAGCCCCCAGCCTCCCCGGCCTGCAGGATGTCTCTGGCCACCAGTGTTTCCCTCTCCCAGCCCCTCCTCCTCTTCCTCAATGCCAGCCTTTCCCCTCCTCAGTAATCCTGACCCGAGTTACAGACCCTGACAGCAAGCCCACAAGCAGGGAGTTGGGTGTGGCGGCACGGCCCCTTCATCCCAGCACCCGGGACAGGACGACCATGTGCTTTCCAGACCTGGACTGCACATTGAGACCCTATGTGCAGAAGCCCGCAGGCCCCTGGTGGTAAAAGCATGCCTTTAATCCTGGCAACTGCGGAGCTCGATCCTAGCCTCCGCCAAGACAAGGTTGTGGCTCAGGTGGTAGAACACTCGTCGGGCTAGCATGAAACCCCAGATTCCCAACCCAGCACAGGGCGCAGGCATACAATCCAGCCCTGTGGAGAGAGAGGGGAGGACCAAGGTGGTCAAAATCATCCTTGGCATATAGCAGTTTGAGGCCAGCCTGGGGTACATATGACCCTGTTGGAAAAAACATTTTGGTTTTTTTGGAGACAGGGTTTCTCGGTGTAGCTCTGGCTGTCTGGGAACTCTCTTTGTAGACTAGGCTGGCCTCCAAATCACAGATCCATCTTCCTCTGCCTCCCAAGCGCTGGGACTAAAGGTGTGCGCCATCACTGCCCAGCAGAAAGAAATACTTTCCTTAAAGCCCACAAGGGCTGCATTCGGGACCTGGTCCTGCTAGGTTAAGCACACTTAGGCCTATTCTAACCAACAGCCCATCGCAGACCTTGATCCCGTCACCAGCCAGGGCAGCCTGAACGGCCAATCCTGGCCTTCCACTCTCTCTCCTTCTTTTTTCCTTAATTAAACTTTATTTATTTCTCTTGTGTGGAGGCATGCACATGTGCCACAGTCTGTCCGTGGAGGTCAGATGTAAGCTTTCAGCACTGAGGCCTCTCTTTCCGTCTCGGGGATGGAGGCCAGCTCCTTAGGGTAGCAAGCACCTTCACCTGCTCAGCCATCCTGACAGCCCTATCTTCCTTTCCATCTTTCCATTTATCTGTCTGTCTGTTTATCTCTCCAGACAGAGTCTCAGGCTGTAATCCAGGCTTGTTCAAACTGGCCAGCCTCCTGCCTCAGCCTCCCTAGTGCTGGAATTGCAGGTATGTGCCTGTAGCCCGGCTTTCTGGTTGTTTCGACTCTCCTCCTGTGGGAGGCAACCAGCGCTGGTGCCCGCTGGGCTGCATTTCCCCACGCAGCATTAGAGTGCATCGACTAACACCCCCTGTCTCTCTCCTCTGTGAGTGGTCCCCCTCCTCCCCAGGAGCCCCACATCCCTCCGGGCGTCGCTTGCTCTCTGCCTTTCCCGCAGCACCCCCCAAACTCAGCCTTCACCCTTCCTCTGCCCACCCAGCCCTTCTGCTCTCAGGGTTCTGGGTTCTGATGAGGCACCCGTCCTTGAACGAACTTGGAGGCATGCATTCCTCACCCGCACACAGGCACTCACCTTTTGTCTTCTGTCCGTGCCTGTCCCTCTGTACCCTCTTGCTGTCCAGTCCCCAGACTACTTGGGCCAGGACTGCTGAGAGCTTGGATCTGGGGGGGGAGGGGGGTGGAGGAGGACAATTTCCTGTCAGGAAGCCCCTCCCTCTCTGGGGCCAGGGGCTGGAAGGCCCCATTATCTGTCTGCACTTCTAGGCCAGGCTGTGGTTGGGGCCTGCTGTGACAAGGACCACAGCCCCCTGTCCCCACCCTCACCCTCCCTCCCAGCTTTGCTGGAATCTGCCCGCCCTCCTGCCTGCTTTTCACGCCTCCCAAGGTAACAACACCATCCTGTGTACCCAGGAGAGACGCCCTGAGCTGGCCAGGCGCCCACAGCTGTGCTCTAGAGTAATGGGGATGTGGATGGGGTCTCAAGGGAACCTGTGTCCCTCTTGTACCCGCTGCTAGGGGGACAAGACTCAGAGGACAGCCCACTGGCCCCAGAGGCCAGGCCTGGGGACCCAGTGGGATGGCCCAAGCATGGCCAGTCAGGTAGTGGTGGCGCAGACCTTTAATCCCAGCAGGGGCCGGCAGGATCTCTGAGTTCAAGGCCAGCCTCGTCTACTGATCAAGTTCCAGGATTTTCCGTGCCTAGCAGCCTCTGTCCCAGGATTCTGTCACATATCCTCCAACCCTGCTGTGGTCCCGTCTCCCAAGGACCTGGCTGTTCTGTGTCATATCCACTTAGTACATTCCCCTACCCGATGTACTCAAATCCGTCTCCTTTTGAGACAGGGTCTCACTGTGTAGCCCAGGCTGGCCCAGAACTCAAAAAAATCCTGCCTCCCAGGTGCTGGGATTGAAGGCATGTGCGACCAATCCTACCCTTCTTTGTATGTGCTGGGGAACTGAACTCAGGACCCTGTGCACACTGGTCATATGGTACTGTTTTCCAGTCCACATTCATCTCCTTTACAGATTCCCCAACTCACCCACTCCAGTGAAGACGCAGTGAATCTGACCCCCTTTTTTTTTTAAGAGTAATATTTATTTGCTTTTTGTGTGTGACAGACTACATGTATGCGTGTCCATGCCTCATGTGCACACAGTGCCCAAACAGGCTAGAAGGAGACAGATCCACGGAGCTGGAGTTACACAGGACATGTGGATCCTCTGACAGAGCAGCCTGTGCTCTTAATGGCTGAACCATCTTCCAGCCCCAAATCACACTTTTGTGTCTTGAAATTTAGTGGGTCCTGGTGTATTCACAGAGTTGTAGCACGCCGGCATCTGAATCCAGGACGTCTCCAACACCTTGAAGACACACTATGGACTCTGGCAGCCCTCCCTCTGCCTCCTCCCAAATCCCGGGAAGCCAGGAACCCAGGGCCTGTCTTTCTCGGCAGAGTGCTCCCTTTTGAACCAGTTGAACGATGTGACCTTTTATGTCGGTTCCTTTTTTACTGAATGTAACATTTTCAAGCTTCATCCCCTTTGTAAGGGTCGGTCTCCCCAGCCGGGAGATGGGGGGTGGGAAGGATTAAGGGAGTGAGTAGGGAGACGCCGTCTGTCCCCTGGTGGTGGATGTGAGAACTGCAGCTGTCAGAGCTGGACCAGGGAAGGCTTTGGGGAGTTACTCAGCGCCCATTCCACCTCTGGGACTCCATCTTACCCTTGGGACCACAAAACCCCTAGAAGCCCACCTAAAACCCCTCTCTTAATATTCTCTCTTAATATTCACTTTGATTTGCTTGTTTTTTTTGAAAACAGGTCTCACTATCCAGCCCAGGCTACCTTGGAACTGTAAACCAGGCTGGCCTCAGACTAGCTCTGCCTACCTCTCTCTCCCAAGTGCTGGGATGCTGGATGTGCTACCAGGCCTGGCTTGAATAATTTTATTTATACGTGCAGTTTGAGTTGATTTGTTTGCACTATTATTACCAAGAAAAATGAAACCATCTGTTAAGAGATGAGAGTCTTGGGTTCAAATCCTTCGGTAGCCAAGCATGGCGGCGCACACCTGTGATCCCAGCACTTGGGAGGCAGAGGCAGGGGGATCGCTGCAAGTTCTAGGCCAGCCTGGTCTACAAAGTGAGCCCTGGACAGCCAAGGCTACACAGAGAAACCCTGCCTCAAAAAAACCAAAACACAAAAACAAAAAGTTCCTACCTCTTGGGAGACAGAGGCAGGAGGGTTGAAAGTTGCAGGCGGGCTGTGCTACCCCGTGAGAGACCACGTACAAAAGGAAAGAAGCCACATATTCAATTTCAGTATCTGGGACGCAGAGACAGGAGGATGGCCTGAAGCTCAAGGTCAGCCTGGGCTACAGAATTAGCCGTCTCAAAAGCCAAACAGCGCTTACCTAACAGGGGGGTTAGTGTGATCCAAAGGTCGATTTCTCAGGAGAAGTCTTACTGAGATGGCTGACCCGTTAGTTCCCCCCCCCCCCCCCCCCCCCCCGTGTGGGAGCTGACTGCATAATTTGTAGAAGCGGTGAATGTGTTCTCACTCTCCCCAGTTAAAACAAAAGAAAAGGAAACAACTCCCAGCACTCTAACTGGGTGTGGCATTCACACCTGCCGCCTCGGCACACCCTGAGGTGCAGGTGGATCAAGCAACCTCAGTGGCAGGACTTCCAGGCTGCCTGGGACACATGATACCCGGTCTTGAAGTCAATAAACGCATAGACAGGGCTGGCCCGAGGGTGAAAGTGCTAGCCTGTGAGGCTGAGGGCCTCACAGGGGACCCACAGAGTGAGAGCACACAACTGACTCCCAGAACTTGTCCTCTGGGAATCATACACACGACCCCCCCCCGGAAGAATTGATAAGCTGTTCAAATGTAATAAATAAATAATGCCAGCCCTGCCACCCACCGTCTCCCCGAGCCTTTGCTTTTAAAGCTCATGTCCTTATTTCATGAGTTTGGTGGTCTGCTGTGTGTGCAGTACCGTGGGAAGCCAGAAGATGGTGTCCCTGGAACTGGAGTCAGGGATGGTTGTGAGCTGTCGTGTGGGGCGGAGGCCCTCGGGATGAGCAGCCAGTGCTCTTAACTGCTGAGCCATCTCTCCAGCCCCCACCTCAAATTTTAATATAATTTGCTTACTTGCATGTTTCCATAATTTGACTTTTAAAAGCGTTTACGCTTAGCAGCCAGTCCCGTAGTTGGCTTGCTTGAGCTAGCTCCAGCTCATAGCTGTTATCCTCCGTCTCTTTTGCCTTCATTCTGTCTCATGTAGCCCAGGCTAGTCTCAAGTTCACTATGTAGTTGAGGATGATCTGGAACTTCTGAATCTTTTAGAACACCACCAAGCTTGGCAACATTTAATTTTCACAAAGGGAAAGTTGAGCTCAGGAAGACTTTTAAAGACAGCTAGACAGAGCCCTTCCCCCAGGGGCACCAGGCTCTGGACCAGGATTATGCAATCCCCCGCCCTCTTCCACACAGGCACTGTGTGACCTCAGCACAGCCCTCACCCTCTCTGGTCTGTTTGCCCCTGCAAGCCAGCACCTGTTTGGGCTTCCAGCCAGAGAAGCAACCACGGCACCTTTTCCCTCATTGTACAGACTGGGAAAGTGATACCAGCAAGGGCTGCCAGTCACCCAGCCTCTGCCCCAGGGCTGAAACTCAGGATAACCTTGAACTCCTGATCTTCCTCACCCCAGGGCCTGGCTTCAATTTTGTCTAGTTTTCTGAGACAGGGTCTTTCTGTGTAGTCTTGGCTGGTCTCAAGAGCAACCCACCTGTCTCAACCTCCTACCTGTCGGGATGACAGGCACACAGCCTCTCTCTCTGTCTTTCTCTGTCTCTGTCTCTCTCTTTATTCCTTTTTTCTGCAGACCTCGACAGCTTGAGTTTCCCTTTGTCTTTCATTCCTTCCCTCTGCCTTGGCTCCTGGCTCTCTCTCTCTCTTTCTTTCTCTGTCCCCTTTCTGTCCTTTTGTGTCTCTGTCCTTGGCATCTCTGTCTGTCCCTCTCTTTGTGACTCTGCTTCTTCCCACCTCGTGTCTATGTGTCTTTCCTATCTCTCAACATCTCCCGCTGCCCTCCTCCTCAGCATCTCCCTGTACAGTAACTCGGATTCTCCTGTGAGAACTTGCTGGAGACCGGCGCGCCCAGACCTGCCTCCGCCCCCAGACACCCCCACCCCCGCTCCCCACAGCCAGCCCAGACCTGTGCCTTTAAGAGCCAGCGGCAGGGGCGGGGTCTCCGCGGGCCCCGCCCGTCCCCCTGACGTCCCTTCCTCCCCGGCCCCTTGGTCGCCTCCCTCTGCCGCCGCCTCGGGCCGGGTCCGCGCCCCCTCCCCGGTCCTCGCCCGTGCACCCTCCCGCCCGCCCGCCGCCCAGATGGCGCCCCGGGGTCCCCTTGCACGGGGCCACTAGGACCCTCGGTGTTTTCTCCCCTCCCCCGTCCTGCCCTCGCTCGCTCTACCTCAGCGAGGACTCGGGCGTCCACGGCGCCCAGCTTTTGAGCTCGCGTCCCCAGGTCGGCTGGGGGGGGAGGGGAAGAAAGGGGACCCCGGGATCCCCCCCCCCCCCACCCGGCCGTCCCTGTCCCCTTCCCTCCTGGGACCCCAGAGAAGATGTCTTCGAGGACGGCGCTGGCCCCGGGCAACGATCGGAACTCGGACACGGTGAGTGGGGCCCAGCCCCTTGGGGGTCCTCTGCCTGGGTCCAGCCACAGCACCCCTCTCCCTCCGGGCCGCTGGCCCTGCCAGCCCTCACTCCTTTCCCGGCTCCACAGCCCAGACTGACGCTTCCCATGACTTTGAGGCCTCTCTGCCCCCTCCTCCCCGCAGCCCCAGCCCAGCCCGACCCCTAGGGGCGCCCCTGTCTTTGGACCCTTCTCTTGTCCCTCTGCAGAGCGCTTCCGCCCGGTCTCTTCCCTCCAGGAAGCCCCCTCCCCTGCCCGCCGGCAGCCCCTCCCTTCCCCGTCGGCCGGGTCTGTCGCCCGGTCTGTCCCCCGCTCGCCCGCAGCCTGGGCTCGACCCTTCCTGGATGGCACGGCCCCTGGTCCCGGAGGCGCAGCCCTGGCTCCCCCTCGAGCAAGGCCAGACTCAGCCTGGCCCTGCTGTCCTCCCTACCTCCGGCCGCGTTGGGGTGCTGGCTCCCCCTGCCACCCCTGGCTAGTTCCCAGATCCGCCTGGGCTCCTGCGAGCCCCCTCCCCCAGGGAGCCAAATGGAACCCGGGCCCAGGGCCCTGCCCGCTTTCTTCAAGGTGCCTCCACTCCCCGGCCAGGCCCTGCTGTGCCCAGTTGCCCTGTCCTTGAATCATTGGTGCCTCTGGGGTCTCCCAGATAAGACCCAGGCGCTTCTGCTCCATCTACGGGAAGCCTTGGCTTCCAGCCTGTGGGCTCCCATCCCAGGTTGGGGTTCCAGGCCCCGGAGCAGGCTGACTCTGGCTTCCTCCTAAGCCTCTCCCCAGCCTCACCTCACCACCCACCTCATCCCCTCCCCACACCTCCTGCTAACTGGAGCCCACTTTCCTTGCCCGAGGTCGGGCTTTCTGGAGGAAGCCCCCCTCTCCGGCCACCTGCCTCCCCAGTCTGTAAGCCTTCCCTTGACCTCCTTGTGCCTGAGCTCTTAGCCCTGACCTCTGATGGTCTGCACCCCGTCCCCATCCCAGGGGCTCCCTTCTCTCACAGCAGCCGGGTAGGACTCTGCTCCCCTGCCTTTCCCATAATTCCGACAGCTCTCCAAGTGTCCAAACTCCAGCTCACCGACTCGTTCCCGCTGGGATGTGGCTTCTTCCGCAAACACCCTCTTCCCACCTTCAGCCCAGCGTGCAGCTACACACTTTTTGTTTTGAGACAGAGTCTGTGTAGACCAGGTTGGCCTTAAACCCACAGAGATCCGCCTGCCTCTGCCTCCTGAGGGTACCCAGAGGCGTCTCTCCGTGTTTCTGCTGCCTCTTGCAGACAGGTCCCTCTCCCCTGTTGGTTTCAAGCTGGAGGTTTCAACCGGACCCACCCACTTTGGTTCCGCCACCATTCCAGGGTTCAAATACTACTTCCATGTGCCACAATGCATCGTGTCTTCAGGCTCTCCTGGCTTTCCCTGCCTGAGTTGATTCCTGCTTTGTGTGAGGGTTGGGGGGGGGGTAACGATTTGAGTCCCGCAAAGAATTAGCGAAGACATGTGGGTGAAGGCTGGTACATAGGCGGTGCTCATGGCTGTTGACTGCTGGCATGACTGGATGTGAGTCAGAAGGCAACACGTTCTCAACTACAGCTGTCATGAGTTGTCAGGCAAGCTCACAGAGCCTGCTCCGGCCTCAGTTTCCTTGTAAGCGGGTTGGTGGTGGCACCTCCTTAACTCTTCCGATAAACTCAGATTCACATCACATTGCTGTGTGACCTAGGGCCAGGGACCTCACCCCTCTGAGCCTCAGCTTCCAAATCTGTATAATAATTGGACTCCTAGGAGGCTTTCCTCTTTCCCGATTTCCTAAGATCGTTGGCTTGCAGTGGGGAGACTGAGCTGGGCAGTTCTGTCCCCTCGCTCCAGTCTGTAAGGAGTCTTGTCTGGAGTGACACCTGTCTCCTTCTGCAGTCTGAGGCTGCAGACCCCAGCCCTGCCACCTGGTGACCGCGGTGACAGCCACTTGAGGTCACAGTCTACCCCAAGTTCTAGAGCCACAGAGACCGGGGGCCAGCTTCTCTGTTTCCTAGCAACAGGCATGGTGTTCAGGCACCAGCCGGTAGGTTGGTCAGGAGGGATCCGGGCCAGTTGGTGGTGCTAGCCAATTTTAGCTTCTAACCCTGACCCCTGGGGGTTCGTCACCCCCTGCCACAGCTACCTCTTCGTAGGTGTCCCACAGCCATGTAGCCTTCAGTGGCATGCCTCCCTGAGCCCCCTGGAAACACCCAGCAGGAATTCTTCTCCAGGCTCATAGCTCTGTGGGGATCAGAGCTCTTATCTTCCATCTCTACCACCTGCCTTCCCCACCCGGGGCCCTGAAGGTGAGCGGCTGCTGGCATCTGGGAAGATCAGCACTCAGGAGCCTGAAGCCTAGGCTGGAGTCCCAAGCCTTCTCATCCACCTGCCCTGTTCCCTTGGGGAATCTCCAAGCTGGGCTTGAGCATGCTCACTGTGGCTGGACCCACAGGTGCTGAGGTGTGAGTGGCATGAGGTAGGAGAGTACCAGTGGTGGGAATCAGAACCATCGGCCTCGGGCAGCCTTTTTGTTTTCACTGGCCATGCCTACCACATCCATAGCATAGTACCGAGGGTCAATGCCAGGGCCTTGCACATGGTAGGCAGGAACTCTACCGCTGAGCCACACCCCAGCCCCTCACTGGGGATTTCTAGGCAGGGGCTCTACCACTGAGCCACACCCCAGACCCTGATTAACAATTACTCTAACTGCTGAACTAGCTCTTGTTAGCTCTTTTACTTGTTACTGAGGCAGGATCTCACTGAGTTGCCCAGACTGGCCTTGAACTCACTCCATTGTTCAGACAGACCTTGAATTTGAAATCAGATTGCCTCTGCTTCTTAAGTAGCTGAGATGACAGGCCTGGTGGACGTCGTCCTCTTGCCTCCTGTGAGGAAGCTGTGTGGACAGGGCTGGCACTTGGCTAGCCAGGTCTTTGTTTCTCCCTGGACTGTGGGATGCAGGGCCTCCCTCTCTGAGTTCGGTCGGGAACTGAGTATAGGTGAGCGGCCTGTTTGTGCAAGACCTGGCTGATGCTATCATCTTCCTAGTGAAAGCCGCTTGGGAAGATGTGGTAGAGTGGGCCAGTGAGTTACTTGGGAAACCGAGGCAGGAGGATTTTAAGTTTGCAAGACCTTATCTCAAAATTCAAATTAAGATGAGGGTGAGGGCTGGCTGGGGGGATGAGAAGACTGCAAGTATGAGGACCTGAGTTTAGATTCCAGCACCCACATAAAAGCTGGGCACGGAACACGCCTGTATCCCCAGCACTGGGGGGTGGAGCAAGCAGAGATGGCCAGATACCAGGCACTTGCTGGCCAGCCAGTCTAGCTGAAATGACAATCTCTAGGTTTAGTGAAGAGGGAGTGTTTCAGAAACTAAGGTGGAGGGTAATGGAGGAAGATGCCCAAAACTGACCTCTGACCTCCACAGGTGAGGACACCTGCACACATACAAAAAGAAGCGGGTACTGAGGTGTGGCTCAGTGGTGGAGCCCCTACCTAGAATCCCCCAGTGAGGGGCTGGGGTGTGGCCTAGTGGTAGAGCCTCTGCCTAGAATCCCCCAGTGAGGGGTTGGGGGTGTGGCTCAGTGGTAGAGCCCCTGCCTAGAATCCCCCAGTGAGGGGCTGGGGTGTGGCTCAGTGTTAGAGCCCCTGCCTAGAATTCCCCAGTGAGGGGCTGGGGTGTGGCCTAGTGGAGAAATGCTTCTCTAGTGTATGAGAACTGCACAAAAGAATTTTTTAAAAAAAATGACAAAAACAGGCATAGAAGTATGAATCAGTCTAATGTGATAAAGTGGTGAAATGCCTGTGTTCAGGTCCCAGCTCCAGGCCTCAGTTTCCTCCGCCTGTAAAATACATCAGTTGTCCACGCCTGTGAAATGCTGATCATTGCTGTGGAATGGTGAGCCCAGGCCTCGGCTCTCTGGCCGTCTGGCCTTTTCCATTCCTCCCTGTCCTGTGTCCTGTTTTCCTCCAACCGTGAGGAGGACATGAAGGGAGATCAGCCAGGGCCTCTGGCTCTCAGGGCTCTGGCCAAGAAAGAAAGGCCCAGTCCCTGGAGGCTCCCAATCAGGACAAGTCACCTCATTGGGGAGGCTTGGGAGGGACAGGCCAACAGGAACAGAGGAGTTGATGGTGTGGGAGATGGCAGGGTAGGAGGGCCGTAAGGATGAAACAGTGTTTCATGGAGAGGTGGACAGAATGGTCAGGGCTGCGTGTTGGGGCAAAATGAAGAGTTCTACTGTTTGCAGGAGTATCTGGGGCAGCAGTGATGGGAGACAGTGGCCCCAGCCATAGAATGAGATTTAAGACCCTCTCAAAGCTCCCCGAGGTGTGGCTATTCCAAGCTCGAGTTCTTGTTTTCCTTGTAGATGTGGGCTGACGAGAAGGGTCATTTATAAATTAGGTACAGCATGGGCATGGTGGCACTTGGGAGACTGAGGCAGGAATATCAGGAGTTCAGGGCCAGCCTGGGCTTTATAAGACCCTGTCTCACCCATAACAGAAAGCCTGATGTGGATGTAATTCCAGCCTTTGGGAGGCTGACCCGGGAGGGAGGATCTTTACAGGTTCCTGCCTGGCTTAGGGCTACAGAGTGATACACAGTATCAAAAAAAAAAAAAAAAAAAAAAAAAAAAAAAAAAAAAAAAAAGTGGTGGCCCACACCTTTAATCCCAGCACTTTGGGAGGCAGAGGCAGGTGGTGAGTTTGACGCCAGCCTGGTCTGCAAAGGGAGTCCAGGAGAGCCAGGGCTACCGCAGAAAAACCGGTTTCTGTCTCGAGGAAAAAAAAAAAAAAGTAAATAAGTATGTCAATAAATAGGATACCCAACATTGCAGTAATAGAGACAGTCTAAGGATAGGGAGTTTAAGGTCATGGGAGTTTAAGGTTACATGGTAAGTTCGAGGCTAGCCTGGGCTACTTAAACCCCTGGTTGTTTGTCTGTCTGTCTGTTTGTTTGTTTGTTTTTAAAGGCAAACAAAAAACCCACAAGACAAGGAAAGAAAAAAAATGCAAAAATATATTGCTAGAGTTTTCAATGTAACACTTTCACACATGGAAAGCCAGGCCATGGGTAGGGAGGAGACAAGATGTCTAGAGAAGGTCAGCTGGGAATGAGGGAGGGCCGAAAGACCAGCTGTGGTGACCCAGACCTGTATTCCCAGCACTGGGTGGGTCAGGAGTTCACAAGCTACTCTGGCTACATGTTAAGTTTGAGGGCAGCCTGAGCTACCTGGGACCACCATCCCCATCCCCCCACCTCAAGAAAAATAGATGGGGCCGGCCAGGGACATGGACAGATGAAATAGGGTGTTGGGGTTTTTCTGGCCAGAACGGGGTGTTGGGTTTGGAAGGTCAAACCCAGCAGTGTTTAGAAGAATATAGTCTTCAGATGCTGGCGGAACCAGGGGTGGGGGGTGGGGTGGAGGGCGGGGGTGGGGAAGGGTGGCCGACAAGTACTTTTGGGACCTTGGTGGTCCCTCAGAGCTCACCCTCCCCCCACCCAGTTTTGTGCACTGCTGGGGACAGAACTGAAATGGCTCCCCAGAGCTCGGCCCTTCTTGAGCTGGGGCCTTGGGGATCCTGGGATGGTGGCCCATGATTATCATCCCATCCATTGAGAAGTGGAGGCAAGATGATGGGGCATTGCGGTTAGCCTTAGCTACACCATCAGCCGAGAGCCAGCCTGGGCTTCAAAAGAACCTGTCTCCGCAAAAACAAAGGGAGTAGTAACTTGCTGTGTAGCCCAGGCTAGCCTGGAACTCAATATGTATTGGAAGATAACCGTGTTTGTCTTCCTGCCTCCCCCTCCGGGAGTGTCATCACGCCTGGTTACGTGGTGTTAGGACTGGATGCCTGCTAGGCAAACTTTCTGCAATTGAGCAACAGCCCCTGGTGATGTGGGCTCTTTGTAGGGTAGGAGGACCCCAAAGGATCCTTTTCCTATGGGCCAGGTTGGCAAAGGGACACGACGGCACAGTGGCCACGGGTACCACTGCAGTGGACAGGGACTGGGGTGGCTCACAGGCGTCTCTCCACACAGCATGGCACCTTGGGCAGCGGCCGATCTTCAGACAAAGGGCCGTCGTGGTCCAGCCGTTCCCTGGGCGCCCGTTGCCGGAACTCTATCGCCTCCTGCCCTGAGGAACAGCCTCACGTAGGCAACTACCGCCTGCTGAGGACCATTGGGAAGGGCAACTTCGCCAAAGTCAAGCTGGCTCGGCACATCCTCACAGGCCGGGAGGTGAGTGGGCATGCTGAGGGGCCTCAGGGCGGATGGGGGGTTGGGAACGTTTAACAGGCCAGGTGTAAGGTCAGGGCTGGTCCTGGTTGGCCTTCTTACCTAGGGAATTCCCCCACTTGCTCAGAATCTAAAGGTGGTTTTGCTTTGTTTCAAGACTGGGTCTCTCTGTGTAGCCCTGGCTGTCCTGGAACTTGCCCTGTGGCCTCCAACTCAGAGATCCACCTGCCTCTGCCTCCAGAGTGCTGGGATTAAAGACCTGTGCTGCCACGCCCAGCTTTAATGTTATTTTTAATGGTGTGTGTATGCGCATGTGCGCACATGTGTGAACCAGAGAGAGCGTCACATATCCTGGAGGTGGAGTTACAGGCCTCCTGTAACGAGCCAGGGACCCACCCTGAGGTGGGCGCTGGGAGCCAAGCACTGCAGAGGTGTGCCAAGCCATCTCTCCAGCCACTACTTGCTCAGATTTGTTTCCAGAACAGCCCAAGGAGGAAAAGAAAACCAGTTAGCAGGTTCCCTGAATCGTCGGGATGTCCCAGGTCACAGGTGTTGCCTGCCTGCCTGCCTGCCCTTCTCTTTGGGTTTTGCGTGTTTTTATTGTATTTATTTGTCTGTTTGTTTCTGTGTGGGAGAGAGAGGGGCCAGAGTAGGACCTCAGGTATCTTTGCTCTCCGCCTGTTTGCCTTGTGTTAGGTTCTCTCACTAAACTGGGAGTGTGTGGCCTCAGCTGGCTGGCCAGGTGGCAGGGCCCCTGCATTCGCTGACATGCCCCCAAACCCAATGGAATCCCAGTGCAGGGGTTCCAGGTTCTAGTGGCCACGTCAAGCTTTTTTAGCACAGATGCTGAGAATTGAAACTCAGCTCTTTATGCTCACAAAGTAGGCATTTTACATTAGACCAAGCCTGCCTTTCTGCTTTTTTTTAATTTTTTTATTTTTTTTGCTTTCAATTTTATTGATTAGTTTTGTTATTTGACAGTTTCATACGTATATAGTGTGTTCTGTTTGCTTGAGTTTTGTTTTTTCTTTTCACCCTCGGTTTTGTTCTTTTGTTCTTTGATGCCTTGGTGACCTACAGCTTGCCATGTAGACAAAGCTAGCCTCTGCCTCCGCCTCCTGGGTTCTGAGATTAAAGGCATGTGCTACCCTGCCTGGCTTGTTGTTTTAAAAGTATTATCTTTATTTTAAACAATTTATTTTTATTTTATTTTCACTGGTGTTTTGACTGCGTGAATATCTGTGTGAAGGTGTCAGAAGCCCTGGAACTGGAGTTATAGACAGGCATGAGCTGTCATGTGGGGGCTGGGAACTGAACCCCCAGTCCTCTGGAAAAGCAGCCAGTGCTCTTAAACACTGAGCCATCTCTGTTTGTTTTAAGAAACAAGTCTGACTCTGTGTCTTCAGACTGTCATCCTTCTCTCTCTGCTTCCTGACTCTGGATTATAGGTGTACAACACACTCTTACCTGCTTGCCTTTCTGTATTTTGGCCACAAAAGCAATAGGTCCACAATATAAAGCTTGCCTAGAATCCTCACTGGGTGGAGGAGCTGGGGCATGGCTCGGCGGTAGAACCCCTGCCTAGAATTCCCCAGTGAGGGGCTGGGGCATGGCTCGGTGGTAGAACCCCTGCCTAGAATCCCCCAGTGAGGGGCTGGGGTGTGGCTCAGTGGTAGAGCCCCTGCCTAGAATCTCCTAGTAAGGGGCTGGGGGCGTGGCTTAGTGGTAGAGTGAGGTCTCTGTCTTGTACAGGGTGTTGGGTTTGATGCCCAGGAGCACAACAACACAGCCCAGAACTCTAAGACCAGGCATGGTGGCGTATGCTTTTAATCTCAGCACTCAGGAGGTGGAGGCAGGAGTAGTTATGTGAGTTCACAGGCTATCCTGGTCTACATAGTGAGTTCCAGTCTATTTAAAAAGCAAAGCAAAACAAATCCTAAGAGACAGAACGGCAGGTTGATATTACTCATCAGTGTAAATACAAATTAAAACCCTTTTTTTTTTTTTTTTTTTTTTTTTTGAGATAGAGGTTTGCTAGACTGACCAAGGCTCAAATCAAAACCCTTTGTGTTTTAATTTTTTTTTTTCCATTTCTTTATTTTGAGAATATGCCTATGTATAGAGACCAGAGGAAGACCTGCAAGTACTGAATCTTTTCTTTCATCCTGTGGCTTCCAAGGCTTAGACTCAGGCTGTCAGGCTTGCAGCCTTTACCTGCTGAGCCATACCCCACCCCACCCTATCCCCCATCTCAAACACAACATTGGGGATTCAGTCAGCACCAGCGGGTGATGGCAGCGATGGACACCTCCCAGGGATGCAGAGTTCTTTTTTCATTCCACAATTTATTCCTGCGCTTCATCACATTCACAGATGAAAGGAACCATATGATCGTCTCAATACTGGCACAAAAAGTGCATGACAAAATTCTCAAAATTCCACGTGTGAGAATCCAGCAAGGGCACGGGGCCCACGCCCCACAGAGCACAGGCTGTTCCCCCTATGTGGGGTACCCATTCCATTCCAGAGGTTGCTTTCCCTCAAAATTTATTATATTTGTTTTAAATTTTTACCTCTTTTCTTTTTCTTCTTCTTTTTGAGACACAGTCTCTATATGTAGCTTTGCCTGGCTTGGAAATCATCATGTAGACCAGGCTGGCCTGGAACTCACAGAGATCTCCCTGCCTCTTCCTCGCAAGGGCTCCACCACATCTGGTCTATGATTCTTTATTTAAATGATGTGTCTGTATTTCTGTGGGTGGACATGGGCACGTGTGTGCAGGGGCCAGGGAGGCTAGAAGATGGCGTTGGGTGTCCTCTACCTGGAGTTACTGAGTCGGCAGCGCCGGAGGCGGGGCAGGGGGGATGCTGGGGACTGAAGTCCGCAGGGCCCTCTGCAAGCACTGTCACTCTGCTTTAAATCCTCCAGGCCCTTGTTAGCCTGGGACTTGCCATGTAGACCAGGCTGGTCTGTGACTCTAGATTGTTGGAGTTACAGGCATGGACCACCATACTTAGCTCAATTAAGACTTACGGCTCAGCTGGGCATGTGTGGTGGCTCACGCCTGTAATCCCAGCACTCGGGGAGGTAGAGGCAGGCGGATCTCTCTGAGGTCAAGACCGGCCTAGTCTACAAATTGAATCTAGGATAGCCAAGGCTACACAGAGAAACCCTGTCTCAAAACCAAACCAAACAAACAAACAACAACAACAAAAAAGACTTAATGTTCAATAGTAAAAAAGGTTTTTTTGAGGTAATGCCTCATATAGCCCAGGCTGCCCCCAAACTTGCTGTGTGCTCTGTGCTGGGGGAGTTTGACCTTCCCACCTTCTTCTGCCTCTAGGTTGCTATCAAGATCATTGATAAGACCCAGCTGAACCCCAGCAGCCTGCAGAAGGTGAGGCGTGTAGAGGGGGGTGGGGTGGGAGAAGGGGATCCCCCAAACCATTCCTCCCCTCACTACTGCCTGTTCTTCCTTCTGGCCTTGCCCAGCTCTTCAGAGAAGTGCGCATTATGAAGGGACTCAATCACCCCAACATCGGTGAGCTGGCCTGGGAAGGGGGGTGGGACAGCTCAATGGCTACACTGTCACTGCCGTGCAACTCTGGGCGAATGGCTTAGGTTGTGTTCTGTCTTTTGGTTCTGTTTTGTCTCGATCCGTATCCAGGTGGTAGTGACTGCATAAGATGAGCCGTGGGACACCTCGCCTTCAGGGCTCGTGTGGCCCATCCTGTTCGTAACCATTAGGCAGAGGTGGGCACAGGGTGGCCACTGAGACCTGAGACAACACAGTGTGGCCCCGCCCAGCTGTGGCGACACTGTCTTTTTTTTTTTCCTACTTTTTATATTTATTTATTTACTTTGTATCCCAGCTGTAGCTCCCTCCCTTGTCCCTTCCCAATCCTGCCCTCCCTTATCTCTTCTCATGCCCCTGCCCCAGTCTACTGATAGAGGTCCTCTTCCCCTTCCCTCTGACCTAGCCTATCAGGTCCCATCAGGACTGGCTGCATTGTCCTCCTCTGTGGCCTGGGAAGGCTGCTCCCCCATTAGGGGGAGGTGATCAAAGAGCCAGCCACTGAGTTCATGTCAAAGACAGCCTCTGTTACCCTTACTAGGGAACCCACTTGGAGACTGAGCTGCCATGGGCTACCTCTGTGCAGGGGTTCTAGGTTATCTCCATGCATGGTTCTTGGTTGGAGTATCAGTCACAGAAAACACCCCTGTGCCCAGATTTTTTGGCTCTGTTGCTCTCCTTATGGAGCTCCTGTCCTCTCCAGGTTTTACTATCTCCCCCTTCTTTCATAAGATTCCCTGCACTCTGCCGAAGGTTTGGCTATGAGCCTTAGCATCTGCTTTGATACCCTGCTGGGTAGAGCCTTTCAGAGGCCCTCCGTGGTAGGCTCCTGTTCTGTTCTGTTTTCTCCTTCTTCTGGTGTCTATCCTGTTTGCCTTTCTGAGTGAGGATTGGGTGTGTTTACTATCTAACAGCTGATGTTCAGCCACTCGGGCACATGCCCTAGGCCCCATTGAGCTGAAGCTCGTGTGTAGAGAAAGGGATCCATTGGAGGTTCTGAAGGAAAACTTGAGGATTGGCAGATGGCTGTGGAGTCTGGGTGGAGAAAGGCGGCCTCTTCCACCCTTGCCTAACACCCTGTTCTTCCCCTTCCCTCCCAGTGAAGCTTTTTGAGGTGATAGAGACAGAGAAGACATTGTACCTGGTGATGGAATATGCTAGTGCAGGTGAGGCCCTGCCCCATGCCCTGCTCTCACACCTACCCCACCCCCCCCCCCCCCCGCTCTCACACACACTGCCGACTTTCACACGCTGCTCTCACACGCGGCCCAGACCCGCACCCCTCCGGCTGCAGCCCTCTCTCCTCTTGCTCGCCGCAGGAGAAGTGTTTGACTACCTCGTGTCGCACGGCCGCATGAAGGAGAAGGAGGCTCGGGCCAAGTTTCGACAGGTGAGAGATGGGGTTCTCTGGCTCCCTTGGAAGAGGGTCTGGGCAAGGGGTGGGAGGAGCTCCTTGCCCAAGTGCATACACGGGGATGAGCGTGTGCAGGCACTCAGGTGGGAGAAGGCTGTTGGGGATCCAGGTGCAAGTGGTAGAGGTGGGGGCACCAGGGTGTGGAAGCTCAGGCCCAGGGTGCAGGTGAAGGGGGAAGTGCTAGAGCAGGCATGGCAAAGCTGGGCTAGTAACCCCAGCGCTGGAAGTCGGAGGCAGGGGATCAGGAGCTCAAGGTCCTCTTCAGCCGCTAGAGCTTCAGGCTAGCCTGGGCTACACAAAGACCCAGTCAAGAAAGAAGGAAGGAAGGAAGGAAGGAGAGAGAGAGAGAGAGAGAGAGAGAAAGGGAAAGGAAAAAGAAAACAGAAAGGCTGGGGAGGTGGCTGCTGAGCAAGGCAGAGGACCAGACTTTGGTTCCCTGGCACCAGTGGCTCGGGCGTGGCCACCAGCTTCCATCTTAGCGCTTAGGAGACAGCCAGGCTCACTGTAGCCGGGTAGCTACGCCAGCTGAATTGGCAAGCTTCGGGGTCCTTGAGAGAGACAGCCTCCCCTGGTAAATAAAGTGGAGAGGGACTGAGGAACGCGCTGTGCCAACCTTTGGCCTCCACACACATGCGCACATGCACTTACATGGGGCTTACAGACACACATACACAGGCGCAGAGATGCAGGGAAAGGGATGTGGGTCCTCGAAGGCGCGTGTGTGGGTGTGAGATAGCTGCGTGCACCGAGTGGCAGGATGGGGTGGGCTTCTGCGTGGCAGGACCTTCGGGGGCTTGGTATTGGTGTGTGCCATGGTCATCCCCAGGGGTGGAAGATGCCTTGAGAGGCACGAGTCAGAGTGTGGACACTGGTGGCTGAGTGTGTATGGAGGTGAGAAGACGCACCAGGGTGAGGCCCAGGTGTGAGGTGACAGGGTATGGTGCGGGGGTGAGGCCCGGGTGTGAGGTGACCGGGTATGCGGGTGTGAGGCCCAGGTGTGGGGTGACCGGGTATGCGGGGGTGAGGCCCGGGGGTGAGGTGACCGGGTATGCGGGTGTGAGGCCCACGGTCCTCATGCTGTTGCCATGGAGAGAGTGCGTGTGTGTGTGTGTGTGTGTGTGTGTGTGTATGTGTGTGTGTGTGTGTGCGTGTGTGTGTGTGTGTGTGTGTGTGTGTGTGTGTGATCTGCCTGAGAGAACGTCAGGTGTCGGGTGTTGGAGTGGGCCTGGCTCCCTGCTCTCTGAACCTGGGTGAACCCCAGGGCCTCGGCTTGCGTGTGGCTTGTGCTAGGCATGGAGGTGAGCTGGGGCGCTGGTCCCACGGGCTGCAGGGACTCCACGTGAACTCTCCTTCTGCCCTAGATCGTGTCAGCCGTGCACTACTGTCACCAGAAGAACATTGTGCACAGGGACCTGAAGGTAAGGCCTCCTGCTGCGCCAGGCCCCCACCAGCCTGCCCCACACTCCCCCCCCGCCAGTCCCCGGCCGCCCCGTGGCACCCAGCGCTCTCTCCCAGGCGGCTGTGACGTGAAGGAGTGGGGAGGACAGAGGCAGGAACTGAGCATCCCGGGATGGCCCTGGGACGGACAGGAGGATGTGATAAGCTATCAGTACTTGGCCTTCAGGGTTGGTCTGTCTCTGACGTGTGGACCTTCTAGAACTTGTGAGAACTTGACTTTCAGGCCCAGCTTACTCTACAATCTTGGAGCCCAAGGTCTTAGGATGGCACAGAGGCCAAGGCCTTGCACCAGGGGACAGGCCCAAGCCAGCTGTCTGTAGCCAGGCTCCACAGCCACTCAAGTGGCCTGTCCTGAGAGTCCTTGCTTTAGACCCCCAAGCAAAGAACCTATGACTCAGTAGCACAGTGGGCTCCATGCAGGCTGGTCTGGGCTGTCCCTTGTGAGCACCTACTGTGTGCTAGTCACTAAGGGCTTTATCTTCTATTTATTTGTATATTTTGGTTTTTCGAGAAAGGGTTCTCTGTGTAGCCTGGGCTGTCATGGACTCACTTTGTAGACCAGGCTGGCCTTGAACTCACAGAGATCTATCTGCCTCTGTCTGCCTCCTGAGTGCTGGGATTAAAGTGTGCACCGTTACTGCTCAGCTTCTTTATTTTATTTTATCTTATTTTATTTTATTTTATCAGCCCAGGCTCTGGCTGAGGATCAGAGTGGTTGAGTTGTTTTTCAGAGCCCTGGGGGAGGGTCCAGCAGTGGCTTAGTGGAGAAAAGCACCTGCTCTTCCTTCCCATCAACCCATGCTCATCCCTACCAGCCCACACCGTGGCAGGAGAAAACTGGCAGTGCAGAGTTACCTTTGACCTCCACATGGCCATCCCATCCCACTCCCCAGCTTCCACACACAGTAACGGAAAACAGCAACACAACCTCTGGAGCTAGCCCAGTGCTTGGGAGGTAGAGGCCGGAGGGTCAGCAGTTCCAGGCCAATGGCCGTGCAGATGGTTTGTAACCGAGGGCTGGGTACAGTCCCAACCGCAGGTGACAAACGGGGACCAACGAAAGAGCCTTCAGCTACATGAGACCCTGTCTCAAACTAGCAACCACAAAAGCAAACAAAACCTAGGGGAGGCAGGTGTGGTGGGTCTCACCTGTAATCCCATTTCTCAGAGGATGAGGCAGGAGAATTACCATGAGTTTGAAGCAAGCCTGAGCTCTACAGTAGCTTTTCAAAAAACAAGCCTCATGCCAGGGCCTGGGATACAAGCCTGTGATCCCAGCTCTCAGGAGGTGATTGCCATGGAGTTGGAGGATAGCCTGGGCTATGCAGCGAGGTCAAAGACATGAAGCCCACTGTGGAATGACTGTGGAGGCTTCTGGATACTTGCTCTGTCTGAGGCAGGCTCTTAGCCAACATCTCCAGCTTGGTTGATGGGGAGAAGGGACCTGGAGATTGTGTGCCACCTAGTGGAGGCGTCTGGAGTTGACCAAAGTGGTTTCCCAGGTCCAGCTACCCATGGCCATCAGAGCTAAGGCTGGACTGTGGAGCCTCAGATATCAGGGCAAAAACTGTTACCAGGCTGCAGCCATAGCTCACCCTGAAGAGTGCTTACCCTAGGTTGGCCAAAGCCAACTCCACAGAAACTGGGCATGGTGGCACATGCCTTTAATCCAAGCGCAGGAGAGGCAGAGGCAGGAGGATGGTAAATTAGAGGTCAGCCTGGCTCCATAGTAATAAGCAGTCTTCACCCTGTGCCATCCTTTCCTTCTCAGGCTGAGAACCTCTTGCTGGATGCTGAGGCCAACATCAAAATCGCCGACTTTGGCTTCAGTAATGAGTTCACGCTGGGCTCGAAGCTGGACACCTTCTGCGGGAGCCCCCCGTACGCCGCCCCAGAGCTGTTCCAGGGCAAGAAGTACGACGGGCCAGAAGTGGACATCTGGAGCCTCGGCGTCATTCTGTACACGCTGGTCAGCGGCTCCCTGCCCTTTGATGGGCACAACCTCAAGGTGCCAGGGACAAGACGGGCAGGGGCAGGCGAGCCTGAGCTCCCATGGTCAGATAAAGAGCTAGGGTGACCCAGGAACCCGCTGCCTGGGGTCCAGCCCCTGGGGTGTGGCCAGCCTGTTAGGGCCCAAGCTGTGACCTTTACTTCTGGTGAATTTGGGTTCTAGTCCTGGCTTGCACCACAGGGGGGAAAATCATTGGAAACTTCTGGGTCATGCCCCCTTTAAGACTTCAAATCCTGTGTCTGTAGGAGAGGCAGAAACATGGCAGGAGGGTGAGCCCCAAAAGCAGTGACAGAAGGCCAGGGTGGGGCTCATTTCTGTGCAGTGCCCAGAATAGGGAAATCAACATAAACCAGGCAGAGACAAAGGGTTACTTAAGGTCAGGCTGGGGGAGGGAGAGCTGGGTGCCCTGCCAAAGGGCTCAGGGATTTTGCTGTGTTTAGTCCTAAGGATGGAACTGAGGCAAGACTACCACTGAGCCATGCCTTCAGCCCATCACTGGGGGATTTTAGGCAGGGTCTCTACCACTGAGCCACACCCCTAGCTTTCTTAGTTGTCGTTCTCTCAGATTTATTTATTTATTTATTATGTATGTTCTGCCTGCATGTACACCTGCACATGCAGAGGTCACCAGATCTCATAGATGGCTGTGAGCCACCATGTGGTTGCTGGGAATTGAACTCAGGACCTCTGGAAGAGCAAGCAGCCAAGTGCTCTTAACCTCTGAGCCATCTCTCCAGCTCAGTTTTTTGTTTGTTTGTTTCTTTCTTTTGTTTTGTTTTTGTTTTTTGTTTGTTTTCAAGACAGGGATTTTCTGTGTAGCCTTGGTTGCCCTGAACTCACACAGCTTTATAGATCAGGCTGATCTTGAACTCACTGAGATCACCCTGCCACTGCCTCCCCGAGTGCTGGGATTGCAGGCGTGCGGCGCTGCTCCCGGCCAGGTATTCTTTTAAAATAAGAATAAAATCTGAAATTAGTAGTGGTGATGATTGTGCGCTCACCAGACAAACTAAAACTCCTCAGAGTTGTGCATTTAAAATTTTCTTTTGTTCTAACATTGTATAGACTAGGACATGCCCGTCATTCCAGCACTGAAGAAGCTGAGGCAGGGGGATGGCACATTCAAGGCCAGTGTGGGCATCTTAGTGACACTCAGTGTCAGGAAGGGTCAAAGGGAGTCGAGGCCTAGGCTCAGTGTGCTGGAAGCCCTGGTTCCACCCTCAGCACCACAGAACAGAGAGCACACAGAAAGATTCCATCTGCATTTTTGGGGCATTTCTACATCTGATCCAGGCAGAAAACAAAAGGAGTGAGCAAAATAGGAAGTCTTTATCAGTTGCTGCCCGGTGCTTGGGAAGAAAGCAGAACTAGATAGCTGGGAAGTGTGGGGTGTGTGTCATCAGCTTGATTTGAAGGTGGTTTTTGTTGTTGTTGTTGTTTTCCTTTGAACTTTTGCTTTGAAACATTGCCAATCTACAGAGACACCCAGTACTTCTCAGGATGGCGGTGCTGGCTGACATCCAGCCCCAGAGCTGGCTCTGTCATCGCGTATGCACGTAGCCTTGTCATGATTGATGGACTGCTGGATAGTTCATTGTAGACACAGTGTCCCTTGGTCCCTAAAGGCTGCAGTGGTTATCTTCTGAGCTAGGGAGATTTTCCTGTGGCTGGTCATACACAGGAAATGCAACATTGAAACAGTGCATGCCTCCACCCTAGACATAAATAATGTCTCAGAAATAATCAGCAATGCTCCCAACCCCTCACTGGGGGATTCTAGGCAGGGGCTCTACCACTGAGCCACACCCCAGCCTCTCACTGGGGGATTCTAGGCAGGGGCTCTACCACTGAGCCACACTCCCAGCCCCTCACTGGGGGACTCAGTGATTTGGCCTGTAGCTGGCTTTAGGTCACTTAGTTTTCAGTGTCCCTCAGTCTGTGTGGTCTCATATCCCATGGTGGATTGGTTCCCAGTGGAATTCTATAACCTGGAAGAATTGGCCACAAATGGGAGCATGCAATGAAGCAGGAAATGCCTTTTACTTTTTGTTTCAGGCTGAAGGGCTGAGCCCTTTGACCCTGAGTCAACCCCTCCTTCCATCAAAGACCCCCCTGACACTACCTCTGTGATAGCAGCTCACAGGCTTGCCGAGGCAGACTGTGAAGCACATGAGGTGTCCCAGAGCACAGAGAGAATGGCTCCTGTGGTGGGGTTATCTTTGGGAACTTCTGGTTTGAAGCTAAGACCTTGTCAAAGGGTCAGGCTAAATAGCCCAACTGCCCCTATTGCGCTAGAATCTGCACTTCAGTCCTTTTCTTTCCTATTTGCACGTATGTGTGTGTGTGTGTGGGGGGGGGGTAATGAGTCAGCTCACATTTGTGTGGGTGCTTACAGAGGCCAGAACCAGAGTCACGGAAGGGAGGTTCTCTACTCTCTGATGTGGGTGCTGGGAATTGAACTTAGGTCCTCTGCAGAAGCAGCAATTACCATCAGCTGCTGAGCTTGTCTCTCCAGGCCTGTATCGTCTTGTCCGTGTGGACTCATGTGGAGGCCCCACATTGTTCTGGGACATCTTTCTCAGTTGCTCTTCCACCTTGCTCAGCAGGGCTAGGTCTCTCAGTCAAATGCAGAGTTCACTGATATGCCTGTTCGTGCTGGCCAGCTTGCTTTGGTGATGTCATCTCTGTCTTCAAAGCTGGGCTCAGAGGAGTCCGCCATGCCCACTTGGCCTTTTGGCATTTAGGCCTCTAAATTCCTGTCCTCGTGTAAGCACTTGACCCCTGAGCCATCCTCATGACCCTGTCATGTTCTTTGTGAATACCTCAGGCAAGTCCCTGTTTGAACCTGTGTCTCTAGCCTGGGGTGGGTGGGCAAGGCCATTACAGTATCCACTTGAGGAGCTGGAGAGGTGGCCCAGAGACTAAGAGCACTTGCTGCATTTCTAGAGAACCCAAGTTCAGGTCCCAGAACTGATGGCTTAACAGCCTCCTGCACCTCCAGGGGACTAATGCCCTCTTCTGGCTTCATATGTGCAGATACATGTGTATGTATATACACATATGTATATAACCGTAAAGAATAGCTTTTAAGGGACTGGAGAGATGGCTCAGTGGTTAAGAGCACTGGCTGCTTTTCCAGAGGACCTGGGTTCAATTCCCAGCACCCACATGGTAGCTCACAACTGTCTATAACTCCAATGTGAGGGTATCATAGAGATAAGTATACAAGCAAAACACCAATGCATATAAAATAAAAAAAAAATTAAAAAAAATGCTTTTAAGCCCAGCAGGGTAGTGCATGCCTTTAAGCCCTGCAGAGGCAGAAGCAGGCGGATTTCTGTGAGTGCAAAGCCAGCCTAGTCTGCAAAGTGAATGTAGGACAGACAAGGCTACACAGAGAAACCCTGTGTCAAAAAACCAGAAAAAAGAAAAAAGAGTATCCGTTTGGACTAGGTTTGGTGGCATAAGGCTTTGGGAGGGGAGGCTGAGGTTGGAGGATTATGAGTTCATGGCTAGCCTCATCTACATAACGAATCTTTCTCCCAGACCCTAAAGTAAATAAACATATGAAGATCATTCTCGGAACAGCATGGCTTTTTGGGAGACAGACACTAAGTGGGGGACAGTGGCAGGGTCCCTTCCCGTTGTGAACCTGGTCTTTACTTCCTGTTCGTTCACTCTGGGGCTGCGGATGAAGCTTTCTTTGGTAGAGTGCTAGCTGTCAGGAAGCCCAAGGTTCAGTCCCCACCATTGCATTAATGGGGTATGGTGCCTCGTGCCTGTAATCCCAGAACTCCAGAGCCAGGCAAGATGCTCAAGCATCCTTGGCTACATAACAGGTTTGAGGCCAGTCTAGGCTATGTGGGATTCTGTCCCCAAAATCTGCAGGGGGAGCAGGGGAGTTAAGTTGTTAAAAGAAACTTGAGGTCAGGCAAGGTTGTGGATTGTAGGGGTGGAGGCAGAGGCAGCCTGGACAGCCTGTCCACGAGTGACTTCCAGGACAGCCAAGCTACACAGAGAAACCATGTCTTGAAAAAACAAAAACCACAACAACTCAGGAAAAAAATGAAAACTTCAGAATTGTAGGGTCTTGGAACATGCTCAGCTGACTGCCCGTGAAAATGCAAAGCCTTAAAGCTGGGTGCGGTGGCGCACGCCTGTGAGCCCAGCACTCTGAGAGGCTGAGGCAGGTGGATCTCTATGAGTTCAAAGCCAGCCTGGTCTGCAAAATGAGTACAGGACAACCAAGGCTACACAGAAAAACCCTGTCTCAAATTAAAAAAAAAAAAAATGGAAGAAAATTCAAAGCCTTTCACTCCATCCCCAAGTACCACATACCATGGGCATGGAGGCCCACCTCTGTCATCCCAGCATTCTCAAGGTGAAGCGCAGGGCAGTTCTCGATTACACAGCAGATTCAAAGCCCTGTTCCATGAGAGCCTGTCTCGGAGCAGGCAGAGGGCGTTACAGATGCTACCTTGAGGGCGCCCCATTTCACAGACGAGATGGTGCGGTCAGGAAAGTGCAGCTAAGCGTTCCTTAGTCTATCTTCCGGAAGGTCTGGATATGGGGTTAGGGCAGGCCCCGTGTGCAGAGGTGAGGTGGGGTGGGTGCGGGGGTGAGGCCTGTGTGCCGTCGCAAGCGTGCCCTGCTCTGTCCTCACAGGAGCTGCGGGAGCGGGTCCTCAGAGGGAAGTACCGAGTCCCCTTCTACATGTCCACAGACTGCGAGAGCATTCTGCGGAGGTTCCTGGTGCTGAACCCTGCCAAGCGCTGCACTCTGGAGGTGAGCCCTCGCCCAGGGCCCTCCGAGCCCCTCCTGGCTCCGATTCCCCTGCCTCTTTGCCTCCTTCCCTCCTGCTTGGGCCTGGGCTCAGCGCTGAGGAGGAGACAGACAGCGAGGAGGAGGCTCCTAGGCAGGCCCTGCCACGTCAGTAATTAAGCTAATGAATTCTTAGGATGATTACAGGGTACAGGGGACCCAGATGATGCAGAGGAGGGTGGTAGGGAAGGCTGTGACGGGGGTGGGACGGCTGGCTGAGTCTCAACAAGCCCTCAGTTTGGAGGTGGTCGGCTCGGCGTGTAGTCCGCTTGGAAGATGGGAAGCTCTGTGTCCTGTTTATGGTCTCTTCTTCCTTCTAACACCTGGTCTCCCTTCCTCAGCAAATCATGAAAGACAAATGGATCAACATTGGCTATGAGGGTGAGGAGCTGAAGCCATACACGGAGCCCGAGGAGGACTTCGGGGACACCAAGAGAATCGGTGAGGGTTGAGGAAGCAGATGCCTCAGGCTCAGGTGCACAATGCCACAGACCCAAGGCTGGCAGCCACACCTCTGCTCCTAGCCAGTGAGCTAGGGAGAGCAGTTGAAGGATGTGTGTCCATATACCACGTGGAGCCGTGTGAGCCTGAGCGGGCATTTCTCCCTCTCTGTGCTATCCCAGCGAAGAGCGATGTTCCTGCAGACAGGCTCAGAGCTGTGCATCTTAGGGGAAGGGAGACACGTTTACCAGCACCTGACACAATGTAGTTTTGACTCTGAAGGAAACAAAAACAGGGACTGGAGCAATGGCTCAGCAATTAAGAGGCCTGGCTGCTTTCCCAGAGTTCCCAGGTTCGGTTCCCAGCACCCACACAGTAACCATCTGTAACTCCAGTCCCAGGGGATCCCATGCTCTTCTCCAGCCTCCTAGAGCGCAGGCCTGCAGGGGTGTGCAGATAAACGTGTAGGCTTAGCAGCCATGTGTATAAAATAAATAAATGATTAAAATTAAAAGGTGAGCCGCAGATCAACCCAGCAAGGCTGAGGGTGCCTGTAGTCCAAGTACTTGGGGTCATCCTAAGCTACGTAACAACGCCAAGGCAAGCCTGGCCGACTTGAGATCCTGGATAAAACAAACAAGGAAACAAAAATCAACCCAGGAACCTTCCATTCCACAGCTGACAAAATGGACCACCACAGGAACCTGGCCACATTGTCAGCTTTCATGATCGCAGCTAATAGAAAATACCATTATAAGTCAGACGTGGTGGCAGACACCGGTAATCCCGAGACCCAAGGAGGCAGAGGCAGGTGGATTGCTGTGAGTTCAAGGCTAGCCTGGTCTACAAAGCAAATCTAGGACAGCCAAGGCTACACAGAGAAACCCTGTCTCGAAAAACTAAAATAAATAAATAAATATGGAAGGAAGAAAGGAAGAAAAGACTAATGTAATAATAGTATTTTAAGGCTGGGGGTATGGCTCAGTGGTAGAGCCCCTGCCTGGATTCTCCCAGTGAGGGGCTAATGGTTTGGTTCCGTGTGGCCTGGGGCGTGGAACTTTTAGGTTTGTCTCAGTTTGGTGGTGTGCATTTGTTGACCTTAGCCAGTGTGTCTTTGTGGTTTGAGCAATGGGTCACATGCCTAACCTGGATAGGAACAGGCAAGGGTTAGCAAACCGGACCCATTAGGAAAGGAATATTTTTCCAAGAAAACTTGTATGCTGCTAGAGGGAGAAGGGCAGATGCTGTTGAGAGGCAGAAGGGTGGAAGGGACAGCCTGGGGAAGGAAACTGACCCTTCTCTCCACCGGTCTCCCAGAGGTGATGGTGGGTATGGGCTACACACGAGAAGAAATCAAAGAGGCCTTGACCAGCCAGAAGTACAACGAGGTGACCGCCACCTACCTCCTGCTGGGCAGGAAGACTGAGGTCAGAGGTCATGGCCTCAGGCCGGGGGTGGAGGGATGGGAGCCGGCATCTTGGACAGAGGGCTGAGGTGCCTTGCATGTTTTTCTCTTGCAGGAGGGTGGGGACCGGGGTGCCCCAGGGCTGGCCCTGGCACGGGTGCGGGCGCCCAGCGACACCACCAATGGGACAAGCTCCAGCAAAGGCAGTAGCCACAACAAAGGGCAGCGGACTTCGTCCACCTACCACCGCCAGCGGAGGCACAGCGACTTCTGTGAGTCTGTCTCCCCACCTCCACCCCAAAGTACAGCCCTTGATGGGCCTGCCTTCTTGAAGTCTGATAAGTTAGTTTTCTTTACTGTTGCAGTGTGAAAATAGTCTCAGGAGAGCAGTTGGAGGAGGAATGGGTCTATTTAGCTCAGGGTTACAACCTTACGTGGTGGAGAAGCCACAGCTGCACTCCAGAACAGGAAATGCATGCTTGAGTGGGCATTGGCTCGCTTGCTCCAGCTCTCACACAGGTCAGGCCGCAGCCTCGGGAATGGCGCTGCCCCTGGTGGCCGGACTCTTCCCACCCAATTAACATAACAAAGAGGACACAAACAAGCAACCTAACATAAACCTCTCACTACCTTACAGATGTGTTTGTGGTTTTGTTTTTAAACAAAGCCTTACTTTGGAGCTCTGGCTTTCCTGGTGCTCTCTGTATAGTGCAGACAGGCCTGGAAATAAAGTGCAGGTATTGTGAAGTGTCCTAAGGTTCTGGGGACCTCCTAGGGTCCCCTCTCATGTCTCTGGTGGCCTCAGCTCTAACTGACCCCACCCTACACCAGGTGGCCCATCCCCTGCCCCGCTGCACCCGAAGCGCAGCCCAACCAGCACTGGGGAGACGGACCTCAAAGAAGAGCGGCTGCCAGGGCGGAAAGCGAGCTGCAGCGCGGCCGGGAGCGGGAGCCGGGGGCTGCCCCCCTCCAGCCCCATGGTCAGCAGTGCCCACAACCCCAACAAGGCAGAGATCCCCGAGCGACGGAAGGATAGCACAAGCACTCCTGTGAGTGGCCGGGGCAGGTGGGGGCGTGCCGATCCCCTCCGAGGGCCGAGAGCCACCCGCATCCCCAAAGCTCCCTGGGACTCGAGGATATTCCTTTATTTAACAAGCATTTAGCACATGGCACGTCCTCCACAGACAAATGACACTACAAGCGTGCAGCATTTGCTCAACCTTGCCTCCCCCTATACCCTCCAAAACACACACACACACACACACACACACACACACACACACACACACAGCCCCACACCACAGAAATCACCCCCTAAACCTGGCACAGTACATGCCTTATAATCCCAGCTCTCAGGACCCTGAGCGGGAAAACTGTGCCTCTAAGCCAGCCTGGGCTAGAGAAATCTATCTCAGAAAATAGAAAAAATAAAAGTAATCATTTAGGAAAAAAATAAGGAATTCTTATTAACTAATATTAAAAAATTAATATTTTTTAGCTCTAGACAGACCATATCCCTGCAGTACCCAAAGAGGCCAGAAGAGGGAGTCTGATTTGCATCCCCCAGCTCCCTACCTCCAGAGCCACTGGAGATGGGTGCTGGGAATCAAACTCAGGTTATCTGGAGGAGCAGCAAATGCCCTTAAACACTGCACCGCCTCTTTAGCCCCTGCAATTCCAGCTTCAGGCAAGCTTTAGAAAGGGGTCCCCAATGGCAAGGCTGCAGCACAGAGTGCCTGCTGCTTTGTGGGAGTGTGGTGGGGGAGGGGCGTGCCTGAGGGCACTGAGTGCCGCCCTGAGCCCTGAGTAAGAAGGGCCACTTGGAGGGATCCGCAGGCAAGTGACAGGGGAAGTAGGACTGTTAGTCAGGTGACAGCCCATGGGAGTCTTGGGGAGAAGGGAAGAAAGGGAAAGAGGCTGGAAGTGTAGCTTGGGGTAGATGCTCCCTTGAGTCTGCACACCTCCTGGAGGCAGAAGGATCAGAAGTTCGTTCTCAGCTACATAGTCAGTTTGAACCCGGCCTGGAATACATGAGCTTCTGCCTCCCACAGAGGAGACCAGAGGGCTGGCTCACTGGTTAAGAACACTGGCTGCCCTTGCAGAGGACAGGGGTTCGATTCCCAGCATGGACATGGTAATTCACAACCGTCTGTAACTCCAGTTTCAGGGGATCTGACGCCCTCTTCTGGCTTCTTGAGGGCACTGCATGCACAGACATAAAACACATCACAATAAACAAACAAACAGAAAATGATTTAAAATGGAAACATTAAGGCTGGAAAGACGACTCGGCAGTTCATAGCGCTGCCTGCTCTTCCAGAGGACCTGGGTTCAGTTCTCAGGACTTACATGGTGACTGGCAGCTGTCTGTAGCCCAGTCTTAGGAGGTCAGCGCGGTCTGCCGCCCTCTCAGGCAGAGAAGGATGCGGCAGGGCGGCCGGAGGCCGGGGGCTGTCTCCTTACCTCCTGTCTCCTCTTGGCGTGCCCCCACAGAACAACCTCCCCCCAAGCATGATGACCCGCAGAAACACCTACGTGTGCACAGAGCGGCCAGGGGCAGAGCGCCCGTCCTTGTTGCCAAATGGCAAAGAAAACAGGTATGTGAAGCAGGGGCTGGGCTGAAGGGGAACATGGGAAGAGGGTGAGCACTACGCATGCGCACTCACACGTGATCAAAGAGGACTCGAGGCAGGTTGACAGACCCAGCATCGTGCTACCCCCTCTGGGCAGATCTTGGCCCCGAAGGCGCTGGCCCTCAGCGGGGCGGAGGGCAAGGGCTGCCCTGTCCACCCGCCAGCCTGGGAGCCTAGAGCAGTTTAGAACTAGAGAGAAGCCCAGAGTCCTGCATCATCCGGGCGGGGCAGCCCGAGTGGGAAGCCCCTCTCAGCTGGGGTCGTGATCCTACCATCAGCATGGAGAAGGAAGGATCAAAGTTCAGGGTCAACCTTGGTTGCATAGCTAGTTTAAGGCTAACCTGAGCTACCTGAAACCCTGTTTAAAAACAAAACCCACCTAGGCAGTGGTCTCACGCGACTGTAATCCCAGCCCTTGGGAGGCAGAGGCAAGTGGATCTCTGAGTTGGAGGCCAGCCTGGTGTATAGAGAGAGTTCCAGGAGCCAGGGCTACATGGAGAAACCCTGTCTCAGGGGGAAAAAAAAAAGTGCTGGGGAGGGCTAAGTGGTAGGCTGCCTGCCTCACTGCACAAAGCTATAGGGTCTGACGCCTATAGCCCCCGTGTGGGGAAGGTGAAGGCCAGAGAATCAGAAATGTAAGGCTGACCTGGGCTGTGTGAGATCCTGTCTCAACATAAAAAGGAGGAGGGCTGGAGGGCGGGTCAGCAGTTAAGAGCACTGGCTGGCCTTGCAGAGGACCCAGGTTCAATTCCCAGTGCCTGTGGTGGCTCACAACCATCTCTAACTCCAGTTCCAGGATACCTAATGCCCTCTTCTGACCTCTGCAGGCACCAGGCACACATGGTCACAGGCTCACATGCAGGCAAACACCATGCATTAAAAAAAAAAAAAAAAAGCTAGGCATGGTGGTATACACCTTTAATCCCAGCACTTGGGAGGCAGATTCTCCATAAATTCAAGGCCAGCCTGGTCTACAGAGCAAGTTCCAGAGTTCCAGGACAGCCAGGAATACACAGAGAAACACCATTTAAACAATAACAACAATAAACAAACAAACGACTAAGGAGGCATCACTGGCTCTGCCCCGCTCCCAGGGCCTTCCGAGATGGAGCTATACATGTCGTGAGTGTCAGCATTTGGTGGATGTCAGTGTGATCCCAGACTACTCAGCACGGTTATCAGGGGACAATGCACAACTTCTCCAAATTCGAGTGGCACTGACTGCTCCCAGGTCCCATAACCCCTCCCCCAGGACTTAGTCCACAGAGGACATTCAATGACAAGGAGATTGTCTGGTGTTACTAAATTAATTGAAATAAACTGATAAAGGGGCTTCACTGTCTTCGTCCAGCCACTGCCTAATTACTACCGCCTGCATTCTGGGTAGATCCTACCCCTCTATTTTGCAGCAGAAATGAGGCACAGGGAAGTAGGAAGCTTGTCTAAAATTGTACAGCTGGCTAGTCAAGGAACAAAGATTCCAGAATCCCTGTTTGTAATCAGATGTGACCTGTACGTTCTGGACAGGGAACAAGGCTGAGCTGCAGAGAAGGCCATGGCTTCAATATGAGAGGTTCCTATTTCCGAGACAAAAATCTAAGAACAGGTTCTCTTGAACCTATCGGTGTCCACGCAAGCCCAGGCGTGAGGTCTCTGCCAGCTGCCAGTCTCTCAGCAATTTCCTTGAGGGCATGGCCTACAAATAGCGCAAAGTGTGGGAGCTGGCAACCTGTTCTTTGGGGGCCTGCATGTGACTTCTGGCAGCAATGCATGCTGGGAAATGTAGTCTTCAGCTGCAAGGCTATGTTCATGACACCTACTAGCCCTAAGGGTTAGAATGCCAAGAGAGAAAGGCATGAGGATTCTAGGAGAGGTGTAGTAGCCACTGGGATCTGAGCGGGCTTGAGATCCCTGGGAGGGTACACATTGGAGGTCTAGTGTTACAGTCACAGCACTGCGAAAGTTATCCAACATGGAAGCTGAGCAGGGTCAGGTCTAATTAGAACTTGGATGGGAGAATCAGTGAACCAGTAAAATGATAGGAGGATCTGTAAAGGCCCGACAGCCTTTGGGCTGCCCTCTGACCTGTCTTTCTCTGCCTGTAGCTCCGGTACCTCACGGGTGCCCCCTGCCTCACCCTCCAGTCACAGCCTGGCTCCCCCATCAGGAGAGAGGAGCCGCCTGGCTCGGGGCTCCACCATCCGCAGCACCTTCCACGGGGGCCAGGTCCGAGACCGGCGGGCAGGGGGCGGGAGTGGTGGGGGTGTGCAAAATGGACCCCCAGCCTCGCCCACACTGGCCCACGAGGCCGCACCCCTGCCCTCCGGGCGGCCTCGCCCTACCACCAACCTCTTCACCAAGCTGACCTCCAAACTGACCCGAAGGTGAGCCGCCCCGGATGTGGGGTGTGGGTGTGGGCGGGGTGGAGGGGCGGGGCCTAACCTGTCTCTGCTGCGCCTCCTGCACCTGACCTCTTGAACCTCTGCACCCCTGTCACCCCTCCCACCTCCTCACCCCGCAGGGTTACCCTCGATCCCTCTAAACGGCAGAACTCTAACCGCTGTGTCTCGGGCGCCTCTCTGCCCCAGGGATCCAAAATCAGTAAGTCTGCTGTGCTGTCGATGGTCCCAGCTCTCATCTGCATGGCTGACTCGCGCGTGTGGGTGCGTCCTTGTGTGTGTCCCCCCGAAGAGCTCTGTGGGGGGAGCGGGGTACAGCATCTGTATGTTGCAAGCAGAGGGGTGGGGCAGGGGCCAGCTCTGCTGAGCGACCTGGAGCAAGCCATGTAAGCTTCTCTGGTTCTCATCTGCAACATGAGGAGAGTGCTCACACAAGCTTCCACGTGTGATCGTGAGGGCTCAGGGCATTGAGAACCAGGTTGTTGTGGCGCACGCCTGTCGTCCCAGCACTCTGAGGGGCAGAGGCAGGAGGATCTCTGAGTTTGAGGTCAGACTGGTCTACAAAGCAAGTCTAGGGCAGCCAAGGCTACACAGAAACGCTGTCTCAAAAACAAAACGAAAAACTTGAAAGCAGAGAGGGCGCTCTGTGGAAAATGCTTTTGAGTATGTTACTGAGACATCACTCATTGATACCTCCTGTGTGCCTAGCATGGCTAACAAAAATGTAAAATATCTCTACCCTGACACACCTACTAACAGAGGACAGAAGGTGACACACATAGGCAATGAGTTAATGAAAGTGCTTATGGGAAGAGTCCTATAGTCTCAGGCTGAGGCAGGATTCCAAGTTCAAGGCCAATCTGGATATAGAAGGAGACCATGTCTGAAGTTTACAAAAGAATAGAGCAAAGTGTCTGAGGAAGGGAAGGGCATGGCTCAGCTGAAAATCACTAGCCTAGAATTCCTCCAGAGGGGCTGGGGCCATGGCTCCGCAGTTGCGAGCTCACTAAGGAAGGTGTCTGTCATTGGAATACCTGTGTCACTGTATATGGCTGTGTGGGTGTGATCGTGCCCTTTTCTGTGTAGATGAGTCTGCCTGCCCTTTTTCATCTTCCAAACCCTTCAGTACTTCTCCTCCCACCTCCACTAACCATTTCTGTATGGAGCCCACTCTGGAAGGAAGGGATCACGTCTAGACGGCTCTCTCAGCAGCCAGCAGGCAGGAGAGCAGAGCCCGGCAGGGTTTCCTGGAGTGCGGTGGTAGTGGGGGGGAGGGGCTTCTTATGTCCAGATTCACACTCTGCTGCTACCTCCTCTGCTAGGGTCGCAGACGAACCTGAGAGAATCGGGGGACCTGAGGTCGCAAGGTGAGTAAGGTTCCTGCCCTGCCCGCCTCTACACACCCTTCCTAAGACCCCCTTCCGTGCCCTAAAGCTAACTGCTGGGATACTATGGGCCCTTCCAGCCTTTCCTGAGGCTCGTTTCTGCCGCTCTGGCCTTGTCCCATCTGCAGCCTAGAGTGCCTCCAATGCTCTCGGCCCTTCTCTTACCATTGCCTCAGGATGGAGGCCAGTTTGACCACGGAAAACCTAAGAGCACCCCTGCATACCCAGCCTGTAAATACTTAGGAAAGCCTTTCTTGGGCACTCCTACTGTATTCTGCCATTCTGGGACTTAAGAGGCCATAGCCTCTGTAAAACAGATATCACTGTGCCATAAAATGTTATATCCAGAGGGCTGGAGAGATGGCTCAGAGGTTAAGAGCACTGGCTGCTCTTCCAAAGGTCCTGAGTTCAATTCCCAGCAACCACATGGTGGCTCATAACCATTTATAATGAGATCTGGTGCCCTCTTCTGGCATACAGGCATACATGCAGGTAGAACAGTATATAAATAAACCTTACAAAAAAGTAAAAAAAAAATGCTATATTCAAGGTGGCTCTGGTTTCATAGGTCTGCTAATCCCCGAAACTTAGAGGCTGAGGCAGAAGTAATGCAATTTCAAAGCCTGCATATATATGCTATAAAGAGCTCAAGGCTAGCCTTAGGTAAATTAGTGAAATCCTATCTGTAAATTGTAGAGAAAAAAAAAGGAGGGGGGATGTAGCTCATTAGTGGAGCCCCTGCCTAGAATCCCCCAGTGAGGGGCTGGGGTGTGGCTCAGTGGTAGAGCCCCTGCCTAGAATCCCCCAGTGAGGGGCTGGGGTGTGGCCCAGTGGTAGAGCCTCTGCCTAGAATACCCCAGTGAGGGGCTGGGTTTGTGGCTCAGTGGTAGAGCCCTGCCTAGAATCCCCCAGTGGGGGGCTGGGGTGTGGCTCAGTGGTAGAGCCCTGCCTAGAGTCCCCCAGTGAGGGCCTGGGTGTGGCTCAGTTGTGAGTGCTTACCCAGCCTGCCCTAGACCCTCCTTTGAAGCCCCTCCAGGCAGCTTTACAGCGTGCTCCCCGCTGCTTAATCCGGCCGGTTCCGAAGCTCCAGTGGAAATGAGAGCCATCCTAGGAATTCTCAGGACTTCTCATTGGCTGGGTCTAGGTCACAAGTCCACCTCTAAACCAATGCCTGTGACCAGAAGAGTTAGAGCTGTGATTGGTCAGTTTTGATCATGTGCTTATACCTGACCTACGCTTTTAATTATCCTAAACCAAAGAACAGACTTTTTTTGAGACTCAAAAAAAAAAAAAAAAAAAAAAAAAGTAGCCAGGCATGGTGGCACATTCCTTTAATTCCAGCACTTGGGAGGCAGAAGTAGCAGATTCTCTGAGTTCTGGATTAGGCTGGTCTCCATAATGAGAGCCCAAACTTCTCCCCCAAAACACAGGACACAGCTAGGGTGCCAGGTCACTTGCCATCTGAACCCATTTCTTACAGTCCTGTTGCCGAGAAGCCAGCTGTCTTTTGGCCCGTACTGTTGCTGACGTTGTCCTGTGACGGAGATGGCGGGAATCTCAGAGACAGGGGTGGAGGTTGGGGGTCCAGCTGCAAGGGAGGCTGGGAAGTGCAGACCCAGGGCACTTCCATGTCCCTGTGCAGGTGGTGGGGTGGGGTGCGCCCCCCTCCTCTGCCCTGCCTGACCTCTGCTGACCCCTCCTCAGTTGCCATCTACCTTGGGATAAAGCGGAAACCGCCCCCCGGCTGCTCCGATTCCCCTGGAGTGTGAAGCTGACCAGCTCTCGTCCTCCTGAGGCCCTGATGGCTGCCCTGCGACAGGCCACGGCGGCCGCCCGCTGCCGGTGCCGCCAGCCGCAGCCGTTCCTGCTGGCCTGCCTGCACGGGGGTGCGGGCGGGCCCGAGCCCCTGTCCCATTTCGAAGTAGAGGTGTGCCAGCTGCCCCGGCCCGGTCTCAGGGGCGTCCTCTTCCGCCGCGTGGCGGGCACCGCCCTGGCCTTCCGCACTCTCGTCACCCGCATCTCCAACGACCTTGAACTCTGAGCCACCGCCGCCACCACCACCACAGCCCCGGTCCTCTTTCTTTGGTTCTTTTCACTTCCGCAAGAAGGGAAGGGGACAGAGGGGCTCCCCGTATCATGACTTTCCGTTTCCCTGGACTAGATTGGTGGACAGAGACAGTCGGGGTTATAGGGCATGTTACGAGGGCTCAGCAGGGGGAGCTGGCGACCTCCTGGGGCTCTGGTGGGACCTGCCGCCCACACAGACCTTGCGCTGCTGCTGCAGGGTGCCCGAGAAGACTTTGGGGACAGGAGTGAGAAGGGAAACTGAGGAAATCCTCCCATTCAGGGAGACCTGCCAGGCATAATGACTGGAGACAGAACTTGGGGGCGCAGGCAGTCGGGGAGGGGGGTTTACAGGCAGAAACCTTTCCTTCTCCCCCTTATGCTCGAACCCCCTTCCTGCCCCAGGCTGGCGCCGGGCACTTTGTACAAATCCTTGTATATACTCCCGTCCCTCCGCAGAGGTCTCTCGGGGAGCTGCCGCTGTTCCAGTTTTTAAGTTATTGCCCGCCCTCCTGCCAGCTCCTCACCTGCAGCCTGTTACTCAATAAACAGTAGGAGAGCCCCTCCAGCCCCCGAACCCCTCCCTGGCCGACCTGGGGTTTCCTTCCAGGCCCTTAGCCTGCAGAGGAGCCAGGGAGCTGGGGACTTGACCCCAACCTGTGGTTCTGCTTGCTGAGCCTCAGTTATCTCACCTGCAGAATGGGAACAGTGGGTTTGGAGGGTCAAGGATGACTATGGAAGAGGGTGGAACATCCCGGCCTCCTCTGTGAGGCTCCAGCCTTCTGTCCGGCCCTCCTCTCAGCCACTCGCTCCCCTCTGCTGTATTACACTGGACCCAGAGCCTCTTCCTATTTCAGTAATACATGTATTCAATAAACAATCAATGACTGGTGCCGACTCCACACCAGGCCCAGTTCTGGACATGAGAGACGTACAGAGCCTGTCATGGGAGAGGGGCTGGTAGCCAGAACTACGGACCACCCAGGGTGGAGAAAATGAGGGCGTGGAAAGAAATTCCACAGGCTGTGGTTGTGGCAAAGTCATTACAGCGCCTGCCTGGTGGAGCCCCGGGTTCTAGTCGTATTCTGGGGAAAAAAAAAATGGCTGTGTGTCTGAGATACATGAGACCTCCCCCCCCCCCCAAAAAAAAAAAAAAAAAAAAGATGTTTTTGCAAAAACCTGCCAGATATGAAAAGCAGTTGGGCAGGCTCTGGGTTTGCCCTGGGACTTCAAACCCTGTCAGCTGTCCACCCATCTGGCCAAAGCCGTATTTGTTGGCTTTTGACATTGAAGGCATCAGGCTCATCTTACTATGAAGCCCAGGCCAGCCTTGAACTTGCAGACAGTATCCTCTGTGGGACCTGTATTCCACAAGAGGACTGGCTGCGATCCCCCCACCCCCAAGGGCAGTAGGGAGCTGTAGTGAGATTGTCACCCTGGTAAGAGTCTGGATCTGAAGTGCTGGGTGGGTGGGGCTGGGGGTGTTAGCAGGCAGATGCTGAGGGGCTCAGGAAGTGAGGCAGCTGCTTTACTGAGATGAAATTCTCTGAAACTGCCTTCCTTGATGGCTGGGAGTGGGCTAGGACCAGCAGTGGTGTCTTCAAACAAGGAGGATATTTGCCCAGGACCTGCTAAGACATGTCTGTCACCTACCCTCTAGCTCAGTCCTCCTGGGGACAGCCATGGACCTCAGGTTAAGCTGAAGGCAGGACAGGAATTTCTTAATCTCTAATGACTGATTTTTTTGAAGATTGGCTTATTCTGTGTGAGGGTTTTTATGTGCTGTGTGCATGCGGTGCCCGTGGAGGCCAGACAAGGCTGTTGGGTCTGTGGCCTGGCGTTACACGGAGCTGTGCGTGTGGACTGAACCCATGTCCTCTGCTGGGTCAGCAAGTGTGCCTAACTGCTGAGCCATCTTTCTTTAAGACCTGGTCTTGCTATTTGTCTCTGACTACTCTTGGGCTCTTGGCAATCCTCCTTCCTCAGCCTCCTGAGAGCCAGGATTAAAGGTTGCTGCTACTGAACCTACCTCTAAGGGCTTCCAACCTGTATCCATGTGGGTTCGATCTTTGTGTACCCATGTTTTCTCCATTGGCCTCTGACTCGGAACCCTCTGCTGCGGCTATAGATAGCTGCCATGTGCCTAGTGTTTGCTTTCAGGATCTCCTGTAGCCCTGACTGATCCCAGACTCTTTATAGCCAAGGCTGGCTTTGAACTCCCTATCCTCCTGCCTCCACCCTTCCAAGTTCTGGGATTATAGGTGTAGGGCATTCACTAATGTAGACCAGGCTAGTCTCAAACTCAACAGAGATTCAGCTGCACCTGCCCCTAACTGCTGGGGCTAAGGGGGTAAGGCCCCCCATGTTTCATATGGCAATAGACTTGTTACGTACTTCTCTCCATCTTGAAAATTGCCCCCCTCCTCTGGCTCTTTCCTGAGACCAAATATCCCAAGCCTAAGGACTCTCTAGTGATAGTCAGCCCACACCCTCCATCTGGGAAGGAAAAAGACAGGTAACAGGTGGGCTGAGTGGAGAGGGCAAGAGACGCAAAGTTCATCTGGCAGAGGGCTTGCCTGCTGTGTAGGAAGCCCTGGGTTAGGTCCCCAGCACAGGCTCGGTGGCACACAACTGAAATCCCAGCATTCGGGTGAAAACCAAATAACAAGAAGCTCAGGATCCACCAGTCTCACGGTGGCTCACGCCTGTAATCCCAGCACTCGGGAGGCAGAGGCAGGCAGATCTCTGTGAGTTCAAGGCCAGCCTGCCTGGTCTACAGAGTGAGTTCCAGGACAACCATGGCTGTATAGAAAGAGCCTATCTCAAAAAAAAAGAAAAGAAAAAAAGTTCAAGGTTATTCTTGGCTACATAGTAAGCTGGAGCCCAGCCAGGGCCACATGAGTCCCTTAACCTTGAAGGGTCTCCAGGCACAAGTGGGAACTGTGGCAGATTTTAAAATGGTTCCACTTTCTGTATTATTTGTGGAAGGGTACACCTTTGTCAAGACAAGTCAGTTTTGAGAGTTGGTTCTTCCTTCCACCTTGACACAGGTTCTGGGATGAAACACTATGTGGCTAATGCAGCAAGCTCATTTCAGTTGGCGAGGCTCCTCTGCTGACTGACAGCGAAGCTGGGCTTGGTGGGTCTGCCTGTCAAACCCAGGATTTTGGAAGCTGAAGTGGGCGGTTAGTGCAAGTTTGAGGCCAGCCTGGGCTACACAGTGAGTTTGAGACCAACCTAAAGTACACAGGGGTAGCCTGTGTTTAGCAAGGGCCAGGACAGTGGCTGTGCGGTTGGGGCCTCTGCTCTGCAGGAGAGCTGGAGTTTGGATCATCAGTATCCAAGGAAATGCCAGGCATAGCTGTGTGGACAGAGATAGGCTGATCCTGGGACCTGGCAGCTCAGCGTCGGGTTCAGTGAAGACACCTTGTCTCAAAACAAGTGGATGGCAGGGGAGTTGGCCGTGGTAGGCAGAGGCAGGTGGGCCTCTAAGTTCAAGAACAGCCTGGCCTACAGAGTGAGTTCCGGGACAGCCTGGGCTACAGAGTGACACCCTGTTTCAAAAAGAAAAGTTGAGAGCAACAGAGAAAGACACCCAAACCCCTCCTCTGGCCTGGCATAGGCGTGTGTACCTATGTGTGTCTGTGCATATATACCTAACAGACACAAAAGCCAAGCACGGTGGTGCACACCTCTAAGGCCAGAACTCGGAAAGTCGAAGCAGGAGGATTAGAATGCAAGGCTAGCCTCAGCTGCCTAGGGAATTTGAGGCCAGCCTGGGCTACTCGAGAGGCCTTCTCAAAATAGCAACAACAAAAACTTGGCATCTAGAGAGAGCTGAAGACAGAACAGACAGGACGCCAGTGAGAGGGACAGTAGAAGGCCGCCCCGCCCTGCCTCCGCAGTCACACTCAACGCTAAGGTCACCACGGACTTTTATTTGGGAGTAGGGAATCGGCTCCAGATGCGCTCGCCGGCGCATAGTTGCGGGGGCTAAACCTGGTGGGCGGAGCTCCGGAGGCAGGTTCTCATTGGCCAGAACCCGGGACCCAGCCCTTTGGTTGGACTTCCGGGGCGGGGCTCCGGCGGCCCACCGCGGGCTGCTGCGCCCGGCGCGGCTCTACTTCTGCGCGGGGATCATGTCGTCGATAGACTGGCCCTTTTCCAGCTTCTTCTCCATCTCCACCATAAGCTTCACGCCATCCACCACCAGCTGCACCTGTTCCACCTCGGAGGAGCCCAGCCGATCGGCGTTGGAGATGTCGAACACGGCGCCCACCGCAGCCGTGTCCACGCCACCTGCGCGGGAGCAGAGGCCACGGAGGCGTGAGGTGGCGGGAGACGCGCAGGGACGGCCCTGTGCCCACCTGAAATCGCCTCGGGAATTCGCTGTTCACAAGTCACCGGCTCTCAGTATTGAGCAAACATGCCTGGATTTTAGGGTGAGGTCCCGGCTCGACCCTCCAACGTTAAATTATAACACAGGCCGGCGAACTGGCCGAGTGGGTAAAGACGCCTGTACCAAGCCTGACGACCGAGTCAAATTCCCAGGGCCCACAAGGTGGAAGGCGAGAAGACTCCTGAAAACTGTACTCTGATGGGAGTGCCCTCTCTCACAGCTAAATCAGCTTAGTTTTAAAAGGATGCCGGGCGCTGATGGTGCACACCTTTAATCAGAGAGCTCGGGAGGCAGGTGGATCTCTGTGAGCTCAACGCCTGCCCTACAGAGTGAGTTCCAGGATAGCCAGGACTACACAGGGAAACCCTACCTCAAAAAACCGAGAGAGAGAGAGAGAGAGACGGGAAGAGAGAAAAGAAAAGAAAGAAAAAAAAAATGCACAGGCCTTTAATCCCAGCACCCACGCAGGAGGGTCTCTGTGAGTTTGAGGCCAGCCTGTTTTTTTGTTTGTTTGTTTTTGGTGTGGTTTTTTTTTTTTTTTTAAGATTTTAAAATTTTGTTTCATGTTTGGGTGCACCTGCATGACTGAGGCATCAGATCTCATCATAGATAATCGGGAGCCACCACGTGGGTGCTAGGAATTGAACTCAGGACCTTTGGAAGAGCAAAGGTCTTAACCATCTCTCCAGCCCCCCAGGGCTAGCCTGTTCTACATCCAGGACTACATAGAGAGACCCTATCTCAACATCTCCAACGCATACATACATACATACATACATATATGTGTGTGTGTGTGTGTGTGTGTGTAAGAATGAATATGATGGTTCACGGTGAATGGCTGCTGTGGTCAAACTGACCACACATTTACAGAGGAAGAATCTGAGGCTCCAGTGGAGGGTGGGGCTTGTGTGTAAAATGCGTGTCCTAGTCTTGACCCCGGCACTTGCAGGGATGTCCCTCAGTAAGGAGCCCTCCCCAGGCGCCGCCGCGGGACGGGGCAGGCCGCACCTGTGCCGCGCTTCTGCAGACGGAGGCGGGTGAGAATCTCCTCGAACTTGGGGTGCTTGCTCAGGTTCGCCAGCTTCACGTGGACGCCCCCGCGCAGCCCGGTGCCCAGGTTGGAGGGGCAGGTGAGCACGTAGCCCAAGTGCTCGTTCCACATGAAGGGGTGGCCGGCCTTCTTGAAGATCTCCTCAATCTGGGGAGAGGACATGAGGGACCGGGCTCCAGAGGCAGCCTACGTGCGGGCATAGGGGAGTGGAGGGCCGACCAGGCGGCCTTCTGCCCGGAGCGGCCTGTGGCAAAGACGCGGGCGGCCTCCGACTGTGGGGTGGGGGCGGCGGCAGGAGGCGTAGGAGAGGGGGGTGTTCTGAAAGGTGAGGGTTAGGCTAGGGCTACGACTGGAAAGTGAGGCTGGGTTAAGGGGGGTCTGAGTGTGGGGTGGGGAACGGTTGGGAAGTTAGTGGGTAGGGCGGAATTAGAAAGGACAGAGCTTGCTCTGTGTGTATGTGCGTGCACGCACTGGTG